AAACCACAAACAGCCTGAATTTGAATTTGAAGGGTCAGTATGAAGATATGATAGATTTCATTTTTGTTAAAAAAAATATACATTTCCTAGTTCTGTCTATTGAAAACGCCTAGAAACAACAACCAGCTCATTAACAGTGACACATTCTTAGACCCGAGATTGCATTGTCTAAATAGAACTTCTCTCTAACACTGGGAGAAACTGCCAGTTCCAGAGCAGGGATGAGAATTTCACAAGATTATCATGAAAATCTTTTCAACAAAAACATGATCACACTTCAAGGGTTTTGCCAAGAGGACCTAGAGCCATTGTCAGACTTTAAGGGTTGCTTCAAAAGGACCTAGGGTCCGACTTAGAGGCTCCCACTGGCCTCGGATGGGACCATTTGAGCATCATAACAGATGTGATGACGGGAACACCTGTGATATAGTTTGGCCCCGTGTACCCACCTAGATCTCATCTTGTAGCTTCTATGATTCCCACGTGTCATGGGAGGCACCCAGTGGGATATGATTAAATCACGGGGGTGGGTCTTTCCTGTGCTGTTCTCGTGATAGTGAATGGATCTCATGAGATCTAATGGTTTTAAAAAATGGGAGTTGCTGGCTGGGTGCGGTGGCTCACACCTGTAATCCCAGCACTTTGGGAGGCTGAGGCAGGTGGATCACAAGGTCAGGAGATCAAGACCATGGTGAAACCCCATCTCTACTAAAAATACAAAAAAAAATTAGCCGGGCATGGTGGTGGGTGCTTGAAGTCCCAGCTACTCAGGAGGCTGAGGCAGGAGAATGGCATGAACCCAGGAGGCGGAACTTGCAGTGAACCGAGATTGCACCACTGCACTACAGCCTGGGGGACAGAGTGAGACTCTGTCTCAAAAAAAAAAAAAAAAAAAAATGGGAGTTGCCCTACACAACCTCTCTTTTTGCCGGCTGCCATCCATGTAAGATGTGACTAGCTCCTCCTTGCCTTCCGCCATGAATGTGAGGCCTCCCCAGCCATGTGGAGCTGTAAGTTCAATAAACCTCTTTCTTTTGAAAATTGGTCAGTCTCGAGTATGTCTTTATCAGCAACATGAAAACAAACTAATACATGTAATGTGATTACATCTATTGCTTTATAATGACAATTTAAAAATAGTAAACAAAACAAAACAAAACAAAACAAAAAAAACAGTTCACTGGTAACCATCAGAGGATGCAACTCATTTCGGAAACAAGTAAATCAGGAAAAAGAAACAAGCATTATCCTATCTTCCTTTAGAAACTGTACCTAAGCATGGCCGGGTAGTTGAGGAGCAGAGGTTTGTCTTTGCAGAAGTATTTTTCCTATAAAGGAAGAGAGAAGGTTGCCCTGAAACCCCATGACTGTATAATCCCCAACACATCAGCAAATGAATGAATGAATGCGGCAGTGGCATCACCAAAGACACAGCAGGGCAAAATCCACCTCTGGATGGAACGGCACAAGCCCACCTGAGGGGTGGTTTACAACAGCCTGGCGCTGAAGCTGATCACATGTCCAGAGCCGGCTGTAAGAAATACGAGGGAGACAGGCTATGCCGGACACCTGCATCGAAACCCAGACGTGGGAGACTTCACTCACAACCTCTGCTCTTCAGCAGAAAAGTTACAAGATGAGAGGGTAAGGGAAATAGATTAAAAGATATTTAAGAGACCTCATGTGGATCCTAAATTTTAAAAAAATTAACAATATTAGGTGAGTGCCTTTGGTGCGTAAAGAGCTTGGAAGTCACGAAGCTCATCCTCACAGCAAGAAAAGCTGACGAACCTGAAAATCCGTTTTCTTTCACTGATCCGAGCTTTGAGCTCACAGGGCATCCTGCCACCCCAAACTCTGAAGAGACGGCACAGAGTCTCAGTGGAGACCGGCACCCTGGCACAGAAGCTGCTGGATCTGCTGCTGGCAGGAGGCCCTCGATGGCAGTTCTGGCGAATTGCTGGAGGCTGTGTGTGGACCAGCTGGAGAGAGAGAGGGTCCTGCGCCCCAGGCTGGGGGACGCTCATGTGCTCGTGGGCTGTACTACCATGAACCCCACCAAGTTCTCAGAGAGAAGAGCAAAGAAAAATCCCCTCATGTTCCCATCAAGGGGAGGGGCAGAGTAATCATCTCGAAACATGCCCAGAACTTCCTCCACAGTTAAGGACACTGGGGTGGAGGTGAGAAGGAAAAACAAGAAAGAGATTGGAGCTTCCCCAGCTTGACGAAGAGCATCTACAAAACCCTGAAGCTGACATCACACTTAATGCCCCAAACTGGCCAGTCCCCCGCTTAGACTGAGGGAGGACGACGGTGTTCCCTCTCAGCACTCCTTTCCACATCCTACTGGAAATTCTAAGTGCAACCAGACAAGGAAAAGGAATAAGAGGTATACAGGCTGGGAAGGATGAAATGGAAGTATCTTTCTTTCCAGACAATAGAGTTTGCTGTGTAAAAAATGCCAAAGAATTGACAAAAAAAGAGAAAAAAAAAACAAAACCAAAAACTCCTGCGACTAGGAAGTGAGTACAGCAAGGTCACAAGATACGAATTAATACACAAAAGTTCAATAATTTGTAATTATTGTGTATTGCTTTCCTATAAACCAGAAACAAATAATTGAAATTTTAAATAAAAATGCCATTTACAATAGCATTAAAAAAGAAACAGAAATAAGTAGGCATAAATCAAACAAAATATACAGAAGATCTGTATGTAGAAAACTACAACATTTCTGCAAAGAATCAAAGCACATCTAAATGAATGGAGAGGCACTCTGTGCTTATGGATGGGAAGATTCAGTGTTGTTAAGGTGTCAATTTTTCCTAGCTGGTGCTAAAGATTCAATTCATTCCCAATCAAAATCCCAGCAAGCTAATCAGATATTGACAAACTGATTCTAAAGTTTATATGGAGAGGGGAAAGACATAGAATAGCCTACATATGAGAAGTAAAATAATGTTTTAAGGCCCCCAAGTGACTGAACAAACCCCTTCTTGGCCAAGAGGACCCAAGAGAAACCTTGAAAGCTGACTTCCTGGTCACGATGGGACAGGAGGCCAGACACACCTTGTTATACCCCCTTCCTCACCAACTGCCACTGGACGTTCTTTCCTAATCGGTGAACAGAAACCAGCCCTTTTGAAAGACTTGCCAGACCCCTGATCCCTTTTTCTGGTTTCAGTACCACAACCAACTAGCATCTCTTCCCAGTAAGAGACCACGGACCACGGACTGGTCTGGTCGCGTGTCCTCTGTGTCACCCCTTGACATATAGGGCCTACTTTTCTTTTTTCTTTCTTTCTTTTTTTTTTTTTTTGAGATGGAGTTTCGCTCCTGATGCCCAGGCTAGAGTGCAATGGCACAATCTCAGCTCACTGCAACCTCCGCCTCCTGGGTTCAAGTGATTCTCCTGCCTCACCCTCCCAAGTAGCTGGGATTACACGCATGTACCACCACACTTGGCTAATTTTTGTATTTTTAGTAGAGATGGGGTTTCATCATGTTGGCCATGCTGGTCTTGAACTCCTGACCTCAGGTGATCCACCCGCCTCAGCCTCCCAAAGTGCTGGGATTATAGGCATGAGCCACCACGCCTGGCTGGGGCCTACTATTAATGCACTGAAATGGAAGTCTCTGCCCCAAAGGGAACGTGTATGTAGCAGGCATGTGTGCTTACTATGTGTGCGTGTGCTTCCTGCTTCATGAATATTCATAGCTTCTGCTAAAATCTGTTCAATATGTGTACGTAGACAACCTGTTCAGCGTAGATTCCTCTCCCCCTTCCCACTGTTGAAGCGACTTTTTCCAGTTTCTGCCAGAGGCTATGCTTCCCAGCCTGCGATGGCCAGGCTGCAGGCTACAATCCTTTGTAAGAAATGAAGCTCTCCTCTCAAATGAAGAACGCTGTGATCCGTCAGCTGGCACACAATACTGAGGCACAAATTGGAGGACTCACAGGACCTGACTTCCAGACTTACTATGAGGGCTTCCACAGTCAGGACAACGCGCGATTCACAAGACTGGTCGTATCAGTGCACGAAACAGAGTAATAGAGAGTCCAGAGGAGACCCACATGAATAGCGCCAACTGGTCCAAACGAGCAAAAAGCAAGTGAGTGGAGATGGGGAGTCTTTCCAGCAGAAGGTGCTTCAACAAACGGATGCCCACAGGCAGAAGCAGGCACACACAAAGAACCAGAAGGATGTGGTCACAGACTTCCTGCCTTCCACAGAGATTAAGCCACAAGGAATCCCAGACCTAAACGTACAATGCAAAACTACAAAACCATTGGAAGAAAACATTGGAAAAAATCTGGGTGATCTTCAGTCAGGCTCTGAATTATTTAGATAAAACACCAAAAGCATGATCCATAAAAGAGAAAATCAGTAAGATGGACTGTATACAATGTAAAATGGTTTGCTCTGCAAAGGGAATGTAAGGAAAGCCACAGACGTGGAGGAAAATCTTTGCAAAATACACACTGGACAAAGGACTGGCATCCAAATATAGGAAGAATGCTTAAAATTCAGCAATAAGAAAACAAAGAGCTCAATTAAAAAGGAGGTAAAAAATCTAAACAGACCTCATCAAAGAAAATACACAGATAGCAGAAAGCACAGGAAAGATGCTTCGTACCGCGTGTTATGAGGGAGCTGCAGACTGAAGCCGCGGTGAAAAGCCTCTGCACACCCACGGGAACGTGAGGCACCCACGTGACTGACGACATTGAGGCCTGGGAGCAGCAGGAGCGCCCGATGGCAGAGCCACCTGGGACAGCTCAGTGTTTCTCACAGAAGTCGCCACAGCCCCACACAGACCCCAGCGTCACAGTCCTTGGCAGACCCAGCTGATGGGAAAACGCCCCAGAAACAGGGTCTACGTGGAGAGGATCTGAAGAGGAGGAATTGGGGGGCTGGCTGGGGAGGGGCTTGTTTGGGGGGCACTAGGGAGTTCCTGGAGGGTGCCAGGAAGGGAGGGGTGAGCTAGAGGGCCGGGGTTGGGGCACAGTGGGAGGGAGTGGGGAGGGGTGAAGGGTCAGGATGGGAGGGCTGGGAGAGGGCGTCAGAGAGTCATGGTCAAGGGTTTGTGGAGGGAGGTGGGGTGGGGTCTGGGTCTGTCCGAACCTCACAGAAGGGTCCCCGCTTCCCCTGTAGCGGGAAGACTCTGCTCTCTGGCTGGATGGGACCTGCTGGAGTGGCCTGAGTGGACACAGCAGTCACTGAGCAAACCTCAGACACCCAGGGAGCTGCAGCCTGGGCACTCGGATGAGCAGAGGCCAGCCCCTCCTGCCCACTCACTGCACTGGACAGGCTGCTGGAGGTCTGGGACCAAGGCATGGAAGGAACAGGGAAGATGGTGTCCTGAGGGCCGACAGTGGGGAAACAGCCCCTGCTAGAACCCTCAGCACTGGCCGATTTGACTGCTGAGTGACCCGGAGCAAGACCCTCTGCGTCTCAGAGCCTCACTTCCTGCCTCACGGTGGTCAGGTGAGACCCATCCCGGGGAGCTGAGGGTGGGGTGGGGCAGAGAAAGCTGAGGTGCTGTATCTGGGGCTTCAGCACAGGGCAGGCCCCATCCCTGGCCCCTGAGCCCTGCCCCTCCTGCGCGGTGGCCAGGTCAGGGTTAATGCCAGCCCCCCTCCTCCAAGCAGGCTCCCCTCCTCCCTCAGCTGTTGCCTGGAGACCAGGATGCCCTCTGTATCCACCCCAGCGGGTGCTGAACAGGGTCCCCATCCTGCAGCCCACCCTGGTGGGGATCCCCCAGGAGTAGCAGGACCTTCCCCCAGGGCCTCTGTCAAGGCCATGTGTGCCTCATGGGCTCCCAGCCCAGGAAAGCAAGCCCACAAGCCAATATTTGCCCAGACGGGCACATGCCTGACCCCTCTGCCTGTTTTTCCACCCCAAAGTCCGTGCTGCCGATCTCCCGAGCTGGGGGAGACTGCGGGCATTCCATATGAATCCTGGGCACTCAGCCCTCCTGGAGGCCAGCCCAGGTCTAGGAAGCATTGCTTTCCAAATCTCCCTCTCTCATGCACAGTTCCACCATTTGGGATTCACTCCTTTAGCTAGATCACAGTGTCTCCAAAAGCCGTAAAGAAGGTTACACTTAAAGACACCAACACAGGGCAGGTGTGGGCCCTGATGGGAGGGACGGTCTGCCCAGGTGAGGCAGATACGAGGCTCGGTAGCCAGGCTGGGTCCAACTTCTCTGAGTGGGCAACTTCCCACCAACACGCCCAGCTGAGGCAGCAGCTGAGTGGGCTCACTGGCGACATCCCATGGAACCCAGGTCATTTCAGCCATGAGAAGTGGACACTCAGAGATGTACTGAGGTCCCCCGGCAGTCACCCCACAGACCCTGTCTGAAAGCCTGGACTTCAGCCCCTGGGTTTTGGGGAGCCAGAGAGGGTCTCGAGGAAAAGAGTCACAGTGAGATTTGGGTGTGACTTAGATGGGCTGGACAGGAGGGACAAGAGTGGAGGGGCAGCCAGTTAGGAGGACGTGCGGGAATGTGGGAGAGAGGGGGGCAGCCTGGGCTTGGGCCACCAGAGGGAACTAGAGAAGGGAGGACCCCAGGACCCCAGGAGTGGTGAGATTTCAGGGGAGGGTGGGGCCATTGTGACCCCCACAGGTCTGGCCTGGCCACATGGGTGGCAGTCCTGAGCCTGAGGACATAAGAGGGACTCGGGCTGGTGGTAACTGGGGTGGGGGTGTGGAGACTCTGAGTTCAGTTGGGATCTGCAGAGTTCAGGGATCCCATGGGACACCCTCAGCCACGAGGCAGTGGAGTGGTGACACGCAATGGCAGGTGGGAGTGCAGTGGGGAGGTGACCGTGGTGACGGCAGAGTAAAGTGGGGAGGTGACGATGGTGGGGGAGGCCACCCCACTTGGGTGCAGGTCCCAGGGTCTATCCCCAGCTAATTAGCTTTCAGGGGAGGAAGGAGCTGGGGCGTCTCCCCAGCACCTAGGCCCAGACCCCAGCTCCCCACACAGGTAGCGCAGGCCCTCCTTGGGCTCCCCTTTGTGTTTGAGGAAGCCGAGGCTAAGAGGAACCACTGTGGACCGAGTCCCCCCTCCTTAGGGGACATGGCAAGGTCACCAGGCCTCTGAGTTGCAGCCAGTGCTGAGTCACAGACCTGACCTCTGGGTCCCAGGGAAACAGCTGTGTGCAGCCTGCGTGGAGGGCAGGTGACCCCAGGCCGTGGCCCACAGGCAGAAGCAACTCCTGTCCAGCAGCCAGGGAGACAGGGAGGGTGGGACCTCCCCAGGGTAGGAGGGGCTGGGGCCAAGGGAGGGGGCTCCTGCACTCCGGGGGCCTGGTTAGACCACCTGCCACGTTCACCCTGCAGCTCAGGCTCGGTGGTTCTCACTGTGCCAAGCCTCACAACAGGAGGCGGTAGCACTGGGCAAGGTGCTGCCCAGCCCTTCTCCTCAGCCCACCAACATCCACCTTCAGGTGCCAAGGCCCTTCCTGCAGGGAGCTGAATGCCTGGCAGACCACCTGGGCAGGTCAAGGGTGATTCCCGCAGTATTGTGGGGCTGTGTACATGGCCTGGGGCAGCAGCACAACAGCTGAGGCCCCAGTGAAAGCCCTGGGCTTCCAGGGCCCTGCAGCCTCTGTGGTCAGGAGGAAAGAGGTCCCCAGTGCTGGCTGGGGCCTGGACCAGCTGAAGCCAAACTTGGGGCCTCCAGGGATTTGGTTTCCTCCCCTTGAAGGGCTGCGGCAGAGGTTCCAGAGCCCCCGGAGGCAAGCGTGGCTCTCCTGTCTGTCCTCAGCCTCCTCTACCTGACTCTGTAGCTGGCGGGGACTGTCATCAGCTGGAGGTAGGTGGCCCGTCCCTTCCCCACATCAGCCCCAGGCCCTGCTCCCAGTGGCTCCTCGGCTACCTGGCCCCAGGGAAGCCCCAGGCCAGGGCCTGGGCTTGGGACTGGGGAGGGTTCAGGGAGGATCTGGGCCAAGTTCAGCCTCCAGGATGAAGGAGCTGGGGCAGGAGCGTGGACACAGCTGGCAGTCCCTGGGTGCCTGGTAAGGCCCAGAGCACCTCACAGATCCCCTGGGTGTGGCGATTTCGCCAGGAACTCCATGCACTGGAGGGGCCGTGGGCCACTGGGGCGGCAGGAGGTTGGGAGGAAGGTTTGTCACCTGAGGCCACATGTATTCACTGGGAGCGGGCTCTCCATCTGTGATTCATCACAGGCTCTGTGTGTTCATCCCTCACTCCGCTCTTCACAGCCGGAGCCCCGGTGAATGCAAATGTCGCAGGAGCAGGATCAAAGTGTGAGGACGGCAGGGAGCCCCACACACCCTCCGGACACTTCAGCTGTGCTGGATGATCTGAGCCACGGCCAACACCCCTGTTGCCTGTCTTCTCTAGGGTTTTCTTACCTATTCTTGTTTATTATTTTTCATACGAGTCTTAAAACCCAGTGTCTAGCATGAAACACTATGACTTTTTACTGAGACCACGTAACATTTGTCTATGAACTTGGGAGAAGTGTCATCTTTAGCATGTTGAGATATGAGTGTCTTTCCATGTTCTCAGGTTTATTATTGTGTCTTTTAGAAATGCATTTAGGGTTTTATCGCACAGGCTTTGCACATTTCTTATTAAGTTTATGTCTAAGAATTTTACAGTTTGGTTGTTACTGTTATTTTTCTGTGTATTTATGACAGATGAAGCCTGCTGTGCTTGACTAGTACTTGTATATTCTATATAATGTATATATTAATCTTATATTCTGTTATGGGCTGAGTTGTCTTAGTGTTTGTGTTTTCTCCAGTATTACTATCCTATCTGACATATCATCTGCAAATAGAGGTTGATTTCTTCTTTCCTGTTTTATGCCTCTGTTTTCTCCTGTCTGATGGTGTTAGCTAATAGCTCCAGTGCTTCCCGCTGTAGATATGGACATAGCGGGAGGTCTCACTTCCTTTCTGATTTACCAGGAGCAACTATAGTCTTTTTCCATTAAGTGAGATGCTGGGGGGTGTGTGTGTGTGTCTGCGTGTGTGTGTAAGAAATGATCCATCAATTCCAATTTGTTAACTTATTTTGAATAAGGAATGGATGTTGTAGTTTCTTTTTAAGTATCAATGGAAATACTCACATGATTTTATTCCTGGAGCTGCTGACAGGTGAATTATTAGAAAAATGTCCTACAATCAAACCACCCTTGCATTCTTGATATTCCACTTGTATTGGGCCATTACTATTTTACATGTTTTTGAATTATATTTGCTAATAATTTAATTCTCATTTTGTATTAGTATTCACTGAAGAAATTAGCTATAATTTTATATTTTATCTGTTTTGTTTAATTTGTTAAAGAACCAGCATTTGATTACTTCCTTGTTTTTTAATTTATTAATTTTTTTTCTCATCTTTTAAAACTCTGCTTCCATTAATTTTATAATGCTATTCTTTTCTACCTCTTGAAGTGGATATTTGATTTATTTTATTTTATTCTATTGGGGCAAATATGCCAAGCTTTTAATTTTCCTCTGAGAACTGTGCAAGTTCTTTGGTCAGGCTGGCTCTACTTCTTCAGGAATCTTCTGGAATTTGTGGTGCAGGATGGTGCCTGCTGAGCTACCTGATGCACAGATGTTCGTAACTGTGGAGTCTTCACTATCACTGGTTGACTTCAACATTAGCAAGGAGACCTCTTGTCTCACTAAATATGTTTGGACCTCAGTTTTACCTACTCATATGTCAGGATCACAGCTCCCACTTTATTATTTCCTTTTGCCAGTCCCATTATTTTTATCCTATTTAACATGTTTTCTGTGAGTGAATACAGCTGGGTTTTGCTTTGTGAGCCTCTGCCAACGTGAACCTTTCAGTAGGTGAGCTATGGACATTCACATTTCTTGTTGTGACTGGCATGTTTGGCCTCAACTCTGTGTATTATTTTGTACTTGGTATGTTGTGCATATTTACCATGTTTGTGGCTACAGGGAGTGGGAAGGTCCACACAAGGGACTGGTCTAGGAGAACAGAGAGGTGAGAGGTGGGCAGCCAGGGTCACGGGGGGTACTCTGAGAGGAGGAGGTGTCACTGCTCTTGGCCAGTTCCCAAGAGGACACCATGTGCCACACCCCCCAGCAAACACACAGCCTGCTACAGCTCCCCCAGCCCCCATCCCTCAGGCAGAGCAGCTCATGGGCGGGGCTGGGCACAGAACTGTAGGGTGGCTGGCTTCTGAGCAGTGGCCTGGAGGCTCCGCCCCACACCTCTGGGCTCCTCAGGAACTTTCTGCATGCTGCACAGGGGTGCCCGACCAGTGCCACGGGGAACCTGTGGTCAGCCCCCTCATAGCCACAGCTCACTGATCCCACCATGGACGGAGACAGGTGAAACCTTGAGTGGACCCCGGATGCCCAGCCCATTCCACAGAGGCAGCCCTGGCCTGGAAGCAGCCTCCTGGGAGCAGGACTCAGTGCATCTCCGCAGAGCTACCTTCCAGGCACAGCTTGGTTGGAAGCGACCCGGGGCCAGGCTCTGGGCCAGCTGCCAATGACTCCACCAGGCAGTGCCCAGGCACAGCCACTGGGGTGGCAAAGAGAAGTCCAGGTGTCCAGGGCAGATGCCATGTCACTGCAGGGCCAGGTCCTGAGCCCTCACCCCACTGGGGTGGCAGCCCCGGCTCCAGGCCAGCCCAGCACCCTGGTGTTCTCCCAGGCAGGCAGCTGCAAGCCCTGGACCCACTTGTTCTTCCTGAAGGTCCCCAAGAACATCAGCAGCACCATCGTGAACATTCTGTTCCGCTTCAGGTGGACGCACCACCTCACCTTTGCTCTGCCTTCCCAGCAAGCCGCCCATTTCTTCTACCCAGTCTGCTTCTAGGCCAGTCTGGTGGAGGACTTCTCCAGGGGCAGGAGCCCTCATTTCGATATCACGTGCTGGCACCTGAGCTGGCACCTGAGGTTCCAGCCCACGGAGGTGAGTCCTGGGCCCTGAGACTGAGGTGTGGGAGAAGGTGATTGCTCACACTCTAGGTGGATCTGCCTGCCCCCCCAAGACCCAGGAGACCCCACAGGTGCAGAAAGAAGCATTCCGTCTTCCAGAGAATGAGAGCCCTGCGCCCTGTCAGAGAACCCTGTTCACCACAAGCGGGGAGGAGGTGGCTGCAGACAGAGTGCTGGGGTGGCCGTTCTGTCCTGGAGGTTCTGGGAGGTGGTCACGCCAGGGACTCCCAGTGCAGACAGAAGGGTGGGGCTCGCCTCCTCCGGGGCCTCTGGATGGACAGGCCCAGGCTCCAGAGGCCCAGGAGCGATGGAACCTCTCTGCCCCCTGGTGGGAGCTCAAGGCGACTCCTGCCCCCTTGCAGCCGTGGAGCGTCCCAGACCAGCCGCCCCTCTGTGGGAAGCTGCAGGCCCTTCCCGCCCACAGGCAGCACATCTGACCTACCACACCTTCTCATGCCATCCTGCGGGACCCAGCCCGGGGCCTGGAGTCCGCCTTCCCAGGTGACTCGCCGCTGTCCAGGCCGGAGCCTGCGGCAACGCTCCTAGCCCGCGCCCGCGCCTTCTCCCGGCCCCGGCGCCAGCGCAGCCCTGTGCGCAACCTCATGGCCCCTCGGACCTGGGCTTGATCCCTGGCACGCCCGCCCTGTGGGAGTTGCAAGCGAGGGTGGCAGCCGCTTCCACCTGGTGCCGTCGCCCAGCACCTGGGCAGGGCCTCAGAGGCTGCTGCGCCATGTGCTGGGAGCCTGGAGGACTGTGGCCTTCCGCCACGGCTGTGGCGCCCGCCTGAGCCAGCTCTGAGGCCTGACGCGCTGGACCTATGGCGCTCTGCAGACCTTCAGCCTCCTCCTGTAGGCGCAGCTGCGTAGCTAGGGAGCACACATGAGGCTGCGGCCGGAGGTAGGCGGCGCTGCGAAGCGTGATGGCGCTGCCACCACCTCGCCTTGTGAGCCTTGAGGCAGGCGCAGACAGCCGCCAGCTGCCCCGCCATGCGACCACAGCGCCCATCCTGGGCTACCAGCGCAGCCAGACCTGGACTGGCCACCGCCCTTGGCAGGACCACCGCCACCCCCGACTGCAATTCGCAGGCGCCTGTACCTGACCAGTTCGGAGCGGGTGCTTCGAGGATCCCGGGCGCCCTGGGGCGGAGCCCGGCCAGGCTGCCCTCGCACCGCAGGCCCCAGGCCCAAGGGAAATGCGGAGCCGTGTTCAGAGGAGGGCCCAGGGAGTCATAGGGCTAGAACAAGAAGAGTCGCCCTCAGCCTGCTCGTGGGGACCCCACAGGGAGGCGGAGACAGTGGCCGAGCCACAGCTGAACCTGCGCTGTCCCGGCTCCCACACGCACTGCGCATCCTTCCCGTGAGGCGGCGAAACCTGTTTTAGCAACTTGCTTTTCTTTCAGTCTACTTGAAAGCCTGTAGGTAAATCCATATGATCTGCGATTCTAAGTCATTTTGGCAGGTTTTGTTTTTATGTGTGTGTTTGTTCGTTTTTGTTTGTTTGTTTTTGTTTTTTTTTTTTTTCAGGAGTTTTGCTCTTGTTGCCCAGGCTAGAGTGCAGTGGTGTGATCTCAGCTCCCTGCAACCTCTGCCTTCCCGGTTTCCCAAGCGATTCTCCTGCCTCAGCCTCCCGAGTAGCAGGGACTACAGGCATGTGCCACCACACCCGGCTAATTTTTTTTTTTTAAGTAGAGATGGAGTTTCACCATGTTGGCCAGGACCTGGTCCACAATCTCTTGACCTCGTGAGCCTGCCCACCTCGCCCTCCCAAAGTGCTGGGATTATAGGTGTGAGTCACCACGCCACAGCATTTTGGCAATTTTAATGTGGAGGAAGCTCTTTCTGCTGAGGAACATTCGGAGATGTTGGTGGAAGTGTCTCATAGGCTGGCCGGGCTAGAGGAAGCTGCTCTGCTGAGCCACACCTGGAGTCGCAGATTTTAGCACATCTGGAGCAGATGGCGGCTGGCTTCCCACAAATGTTTACTTCTTGAGCAGATCACTTTTTTGATCATAAGTTTGAGTGTAGTTTTGAGAAAATCTATCCTAATTATGTTTCCCTGATGTTTCCTGTACTTGTAATGGAGCTCATACAGGAGAGACTGAAGGGTGAATTCACGATTATCTTACAACTTACAACGTCTGTTTGTGAATTCTAACAGTATATCTTCAACTGTGAAAATGTATTTCAAAACTTCTTCTGGCCCAATACCTGGATATTCCAATATCTTATATGAAAGTGTGCAATTCTGTCAAATCTGTATGGCCCTTGCTTCAACTTTGTGATTTTGTTGAAATTTCAGAATTTTCAGAAATTCTAAGCTGGGAGTAACTCTAACAGCCTCTGAATTTACTTTACTGAGATGTGGCTGCGTCTGCTCCTCCCATGCTCAGGCAGCAGTTACTGTCTGAGCACGGGACCTCCCTCCTGGAAGAGATCTGTCAGAGGCTGCAGGCACTCCTGGGGTGACCCCCACCTCCGGCACCCAGGGGCTGGGTGCACCTGCCACCAAGGAGAAGCCCCTCTCTCCTTCCTGGGGCCCACCCCCTGCTGCTGCTTCTGCGGCTGATGTGACACCCAGGCATGGCCAGGCCCTCAAGCAGAACCCCTGTAGAGCTGGTTAGCCCCCACCCATCAGCTCCCTGTGCACTCAGCAGTCCTTTGCCTGAGCAGCATCTGGCAGCCCCATCAGGGGGCCTCTGGAAGACACACAGGACTGGCTCTCAGGCATGTGCCACAGGGTTCCTGTCCCCACTCCACAGCAGGGAAAGGGGAGCCCGGGGCTCCAAGAAAGTCAGCTCTTTGCCTGGGTGGGAGGGCCTTTGTAGGCGGGAGGAGGTGTGTGTGAAGGGAGCAGCCTCGGGACAGGGAGATTCTTCTTTCTCTCCCTCCACGGGGCGCTCGTCAGGAAAATGTAGCCTCACCCAGCATCCCAGGGGGAGGAAGCCCACGCACCATGAGGCAGGGAATAATGCAGGGTGGTTAGAGAGGAGTGGACATTCCAGGCAAGCCCCTTCTGTCTCTGGAAGAAACCCTGCAGGGAGCCAGGAGCTGACAGGACCCACACAAACACAGGGTGTAGCCGCACTGGCTGAGACCGCCTGGACCCCACAGGGCTCTGGGTATGCCCGAGTGTCTCCTGCGGCCTCCACAATCGCTCATTAGCATACTCATCACACCCCCACCGCGCGACAGCTCCAGAACACCCAGATCTGGTGGAAAATGGGCAGCCCTGCAGCTCTGGAACATCTCCACCTTTTCCAGGAATCCTGTAGATTTTCCTCCGGCCCCAGCGCCCCTCGTGTGGACTCTGAAGGCGCCACCTCCCTTTCTCAGTGAACTTCAGCCTTCCAGGAAGACTCTCTGGCCTTTCACTATTTGCAGCTACGCCTGAAGTTCCCTTCTCGCAGTGGTGTCCGAGCCTGAGGCCTTTAGCAGGTCAAGTCTCAATGGGGTGCAAGTGTCCCCTGGCCACCCCGAACTGGGGACATCTCCCTGCTTTCCTCCTCCTTCCCCCATGTAGCAGAGCAGCTGTTGCAGGGAGCTCGCAACCACCAGAGGGGCCAGTGCGGCCTGCTGACCGGTTCCACCTGCGTGCGGCCTGCGGCAGGACCACCACCACCTCACTCACTCCCTCTGGATGGGGCAGCAGGACCCGCAGCAGAGGGACCCTTGTCTCTTTTGGGTGGAAGTTTCCAGACCGGCTCTGTTCTTTGGGAAGGAAATGGCTGGAGGCGCCATGTCTCCAGGTCCCAGTTCTGCCACAAGGTCCCAGTGAATGACGTGGCTTTGGGCGATGACCAGGCCATGGTCCTGAGGGTTGTGAACTCAGGGGCGGTGGGACTGGGTGCCCTGTGCCTGGTTCACACCCACACACAGGCATGGGGAGAAGCCAGGGTACCCCTAGGATTGGTAGAGCGGCGGATCCCCACTATGTTGTCTTTGCTCGGTCCCTCCAGGAGAACCAGGAGCCTTTCTTTAAAGCTGAGGCCGATGGACAGGTTCCGGTTTCCTCTGGGTCCAGCTTGGCCCCACAGGCCTCTCCCGCCCCCTCAGGGGGCATCAGAACTGTGAGGCCCTGTGCTGAGGCCAGAAGGGCCCAAGGTGACCCATGTTCCATGGTAACCTTTGACCTAGCCCAGGGTCCCATAAGCACAGGTCATTACTTTTGATCAGAGGTCAGCTGGGGCTGGGAGGCACCCAGGAGGAGCTTCCAAAGCAGGGGTACAGCACACGGCTTGAGGGAGGCTGGAGGTGGCAAAACCAAGGCCCCTGGTGCCTGCGCAGGGACCTAGATTCCACCCTGCCCTCATGAGCACAGTGGGGCCTGGTCCCAAAGTTCTCCTCTTAGGGCTCTGCTCCTGGTCTGCATCCAAGTTGACATTCCCTTTCTCCCCAGGTCCAGCACTGCACCCCCAGGGCAGCCTGGATCTCACCTGAAGAAGCCCCAGGGAGCAAAGAGCCCAGAATATCAGTGAGCAGGGACCCCCAGCTTCATGTGGGTGACTGCACCCGGTGGGTTCATGCCTGTCTCAGCAGAACAGGCGGCTCTGTGCCTCAGTAGGTTTGTGTACCTAGACCTGGGTCTGTGGAGGCAGTCCTTTCTTCCTTTCCATCTTTTTTCCTGTTTAGCTTTCTATCTTTTATTTCTGCATATGTCTATGTATCCCTTTTCCCATCTATACATCTATCCCCCATCCATCCATCCATCCACCCACCCACCCACCTATTCACTCATCTATCAATATATCTATCTACCTGTCCATCCATGCATCCATTCATCTGTCAATTCATTCATCTTTCCATCCAACCACCCATCTCTCCACCATAGTACCCATCCACACACCCATTCACTCATCCGTCCATGCATCCATCTATCCAGTCAGTGATCTGCGGCTGTGAATCTGGTGTTCTTTCATTTCCCATCTCTCTCAGCCAATGATTTGGCTCCTCCCTTGTTCCCTCAGATACCCCTGAATGTACCACCCTCTCTGCGGGCCCCGGACCCCTGACTCAAGAATGGTGTCTCCGTGGTCATGTGGTTGGGTGTCGATCACAGATCAAGGAACTCCTCACAGCAGCTCTGTTTCTGAAAGGGCTGGTGACACAAGGCAGGGGAAGGACGTTTCAGGCTGAGGCAGGAAAGGCGGAGGTGGGAGCACTGAGTAGAGCCTGCTTTATGCTATTCATAAAATCAAACATCTCCCCTCGTTCGCCGCCGGCTGCTGGGCAAAAACAACTCTCGGTCGAAAGGCTTCCAACTCGAGAAGCTGGCCTTGCAACAGCAATCTCTGTTGGTACGGGCTCCACACAGGAACGTGGCTTTGCCGTGGGGCCAGTGGCTTGGAACACTGCTTAAACCAGCTGGCTGGCTTGGCAGCCTCGCAGGCCTGAGCCGTCTCCAGGCAGGCGAAGCAGAACTTCGTGTCACACCGGGAGCACGTCACGTACTTGCAGCGCTCCTTGTGCTCGATGAGCAGCCCGCACTCGGGGCAGGCCCGGATGGAAGGGCAACCTTGGATCGAGCTGTCTGGGAGGTCCTTGGTGGCACAGGTGGCGAGGATGTGCAGGATCGGGTCCCTGCAGTCCTCATTGCCACAACAGTTCGAAGACAACATAGGCCCTTTCCAGGCCTGCATGCACTGCCAGCAGAAGTCGTAGGGCACACCCCGTATGGTGCAACAGACTGTGCAATGCACCCGAAGCTCGGCTGGATCCTTCCGCTCCACGAGGCTCCTGCAGCCTGGGCACTGTGGGGAGGGGCCTCTCAGAGCAGGTGGAAGGAGCCCTGCCCCCCCGCCACCTCCCTGTGGGGACACAGTGAGGGCCCGGCCGTGGGAGGGAAGGACCGCAGGGCAGTGAAGGACTGCGGGGTACTGAGGTGCCTTTCTGGGGACCAGCTTGGCAGGGCTCAGACCTCCCACACTGTAGGGCAGGGCCACGGGACCTGAGGACTCTCACCACTTTCAGGTTGCAGTAGCGTCTCATTGCAGCCTGGGCAAGCCCTTGCTCGAACTCCTGCTGCTCAGAGTCGCTCAGCTGGGTGCAGCGGCGTACCTCCGGGTAGAGCCACTGGGCCCCACACTTCTTCCCCTTGACTTCCGCGGGGCAGTGGAGTGTGTACTTGCCCTGAAAAGACAGAGTGGGGAGGGCCCAGAGAGCGCCTCACACCAAAGGCCCCGGTGTGGCTGCAGTCCCCACCGCCAGCCCGCCAGGCCCTGCACAGACTCCCCTGGGATACTGCCCCTCAGGCTCCCACATCCACCTGCCTCCCTGAGGGGTCCTGAGTGTGCTCTGCGCCCCAAACCAGGCCTCTCGTGGAGCCCAACATGCACATTGCATCCCACACGTGGGGCTGCAGCCTCCTGATGAGGACCCGGGGTGCTGCTTCCCAGCCCAAGGAAGCCGTTAACTGGATTCTCCCAAAGGAGCTGGGAGTCTGCCTCCCTCCAGATAGGTCAAATCTAGGGGCTCTCTGGCCCCGTCATATGGCAGGGAGGACTCCACATGGCATAGCTGTGGCTGAGCCCCTACCTGTTTTATCAGCTGGAGGCACCAGAGCTTCAGGTTCTCTGGGTCCACTGCGTGCCCACAGCTCATCTCCACCCTGTCCACACCGTCATACTCGTCCCCTGTATGGGCCAAGGGTCCTTGTCAAAGGCATAGTGGGGCAGGACTCTGGCACCCCCAGTCCACACTGTTCTCTGCCAGGGCTGTCGGGGGACAGCAGGGTCCCTCAGCCTCCTTATCCAGGGTCCTTCCTCTCCCTCCACCACTCTCCTCTTGGCCTGAGCACACAGCCTTGTCCCCGGTGCACACAGAGAAGCCAGGGCCCTTTGCAGTGTAGGGCATCTCTGTGGGGTTCCTCTCTGGGCTGCTCCTGGAACTAGAGCAGGTGCCTGTGCCTTTTCAGCCCCCACCCACCCTGCCCCACCCCTCAGGCCTCATCTGCCATGGCCACCCCCTTCTCCTGGCCTCCCTGGCTGGTCACCGGATTGCAGGGAGGGCAGCAAGGCCAGGACTGGGTATGGCAGCAGGACAGGGCAGGGATAGGGACCTCAGCAGCCCTTCAGAAGCTCAAGGGGCAGTCTCAGGTGTTGGCTGTCAAGGACACAGTGGGGCCGTGAGCCCAGGGAGAGCTGATCCACAGCGTGGGATGGAGAGGGAAGGATGGTGCCACCTCCATCACAGAGATCTTCAGCACAGGAGCCAGTGGAGGAGGCAGGGAGAGGGCTCAGCTTCCTACGCACTGAGTCTGACATTCGGGTTTGAGCAGCGCCTGCCCCTGTTGTCATTAGTGCCTCAGATTTAATGGGGGTCCCTGAGAAAGTGGTCTAGAAGCAGCCAAGGACAGAGTCCTGTGTGCAGGACCAGGCTCTGGAGAGCACGAGGACAGAGTCCTGTGTTCAGGACCAGGCTCCAGAGAGCACGAGGAGAAGTCCAGCATGTGTGCACAATGGAGGGTGACCCCTCCTCAGGCTCCTATGCAGAGCCTCTGGGGACTTCCACTCGAGATGAGCCCAGCACAGAGGGAGGAGGGACACCTGGAGGCTGTGGGTTCATCCCAGGCTCTGCTGGGCCTCGGAAGGCTTGCTCCTTTCTCCCCAAGCCTATTTGGCTGCAGAGACAGGGTGGGGAAGCTGAGGCCATGCCCGGCAGCTGGGACCCTGGAGGGCCTGGCTTGTGGGGATCCCTGGTGGTCCTAGGGGGCCTGCTGCTCTTCCTGGCCCTGCGTCCAGCACCGAGCCATGTGTGGCTAAGACAGCCCAGGCTTCTGGCTTTGGGTCCTCCCGTCTTGGAAGTGGGGCCCTTCCTCGGCCCCTTTGCTCCAGCCTGGAGCTCTGGAGTCACGTTGGATTTGTTTCCCCCCACCTTTTCCCAGACCCTGCAGGGAGGGGTATCAGACCCTGGGGGCTCCTCCCCACCTCCCCAAGGCCCTCACAAGGTCCCCACATGCTCTGGCCTTGCCCAGGGAAGACCCTCGTGAACCAAAGTTCTCTGAAAAGGAACCTGGAGGAAAGAGACTTTATTCCAGTGAACAGTTTGTGAACCCTGGAGGCTCAGCCTCCTGTGCCTGAAAGAGCAGGGGAGGTCAGAGGCGCTATGGAAAGGAGAGGTGTGATGAGAAGGAGTGCCTTCTGCATCGCTCATTTCACTGGCACTGGTAAGGTTCTGAGGAGCTGGCAAGCGCTGACCAGGGAATGCTGCCCGTGGTGTGGAAAACTCGTCTGAGTATTGTAGCCAGACTCCTGGGTCAGGAGATAAAACAGACTTCACGTTACAGCCGGCGTTCTCAGCTGCCAGGCTCGCAGAGAAGGGTGTTTGGAGTGATGTTTGTGTTCTGAGTGCTGTCTCCCCCTGGCTTCTCAGCTCTCTGGCTGAGTATGACAAGAATGACCCAGTTCCTAGGATCAACATCTATACCCTCCCAGCAGGAGCTCTCAGCCCTCCCCTCCCTCCCCCCCCTGCAGCCACCACCCGCCACTGACCTCACCTCTCACCACCCTCTCCTGGTCCCCCAACTCCAGTCGCCGTGGTCCCAGGTGTCTGGGGTTCTGGGAAGCCCAGGTTCTGGGGATCCCAGGCTCCTTCCTCAGTCCTGTGTCTGCCCAATGTGGAAGCCGCCAGGAAGCTGGCTGTAAGCCAGGTTCTCTCGGACCCCAGCAGCTTGTTTTCAAGTTTAGGAATTTGGGGGGTGACGGGGAGGAACTCCTTTTACATCACCTTTCCAGTCCAAACGCAAGCCTCTAATTAAATCCAGTAGTCCCCCGCCCCACCCCACCCCACCACCATGTCTGCCCGGACTCACCAGTTATCTCATCTTTGCCCTGCACGAACTTGAGCGGGGGCTCAGGGGCGCTGTGGCTCATGGGGAGCTGGCTTGGGGGCCCTGGGGCTGCGGTCTGGCCTTGCACTCTCCACAGCTGGCAGGAGCAGCCAGCAGCTCAGGCTCCAGCCCCACCCCTACCCACCCCTGTCCCGCCCACTGGGGGAGCTGCCTGGGCCACCCCACCCCAAGGGCTGCCAGGAAGGGGGCCCCCAGGGGGTGCACCCCATCTCTGATGCAGGGCCATGCTCCCAGTGGCCTTCCCGCTAGGGAAATGGGGCAAAGTTGGGGTGGACATCGACCCTGATAACTGAAGGGGACGCTTGGAGAGCTCCAGGCACCAGGGAGGGGAGGGTCCCCCAGGCAGTGCCGCCTCCAGACCAGCGCAGTGGGGAGTCCCACCCTCAGGCAGAAGCCAAGGTCAGGGCCAGGCGTTCCCAGGCTCCTCCTGCCTGTCTGTCTCCAGATGAGGAACTTTCGGTTTGGGGGAGTGGCGTTGTTTGCTTGCCTCCATGTGCTCTGCACTGCATGGGGGACCGTCTCCCCACCTGCATCCCCAAGGCCAGCCATGGGGGCAGGAGGGTGCAGTGGCTGGAGCCCACCCCTCAGGGCCATGCAGGGCAGGGGCAGTGCCCAGAGCGGGACAGGGGAAAGGGCACCGGGCTTCCCCTTTGGGGCCCCTTCCTCATGCCCCAGGATTTCCCAGTCCCCCTTCCCCCTCCAGCACCCACACAGGAAGGAGAGGGCGGGCAGTTCTCAGAAATGTTCCGCAGAGGAGAAGGAAACTGAAACTCGCCCCAGCACAAACGTGGAGCCCCACGCCCATCCTTCCTTGGCCCCCACCCCCGTGGCCCAGAGAAGCCAGCCAGGGCGAGCCTTTGTCCCGCCGCACAGGGAACATGCCTCCAGATGGGTGAGGGCCTCTGGACTCCGTGCCATGAATCGCTTTCGTTCGCCGGGTAGAATCCCTGCCCTTTTCCCCTTATGGTGTCTTCGGTTCGCAGCGTGGGAGCTGCGCCGGCCTGCAGCGTGCTGCCTCCTTTCCAGCGGCCCGGCCTCTCTGCTGCTCTGGCGCCGGTGTCCGGGCCGGCACAGAGAGTGCGCTCCGGGAGACCGGGGTGTGTGGCCCGGCCAGGAGGCTGCAGACAGGAGGCTGCACTGTGCGTGTGGCGGGGGAGGGGGCACCGCCTGTGCCTGGAGGGGTCTTGTGTGGAGAGCAAGGTCTCCACTGACACTTCCTCCTTAAACCAAAAGAACATTAACTGTCCCCCGGGAAGGGCCGGGCTGCCCGTGCTCAGCGCCTCCGGGACGCTTCAGCTGCCTGGGGCTCTCGTGTGGTGGCCTGGTGGTGTGAGCGTCACTGCTGCCCCTGGCCCCAGTTCCTCCTCAGTTTCCTGGGGTGCCTTTCACATGTGCTGGGCTCAGAGCAGTCACACCCGTCCGTGGGACACACCAGCCTGGAGTCAGCACAGAGCCCTGAGTCCTGTGTCCCCGGCCGCCGCAGGGACATGCTGGTGCGGAAACCGTGAGGCAAACGTATTTGCTGACCGGCGCGCTGCAGGAGCTGCCTCGGCCAGGAAGCCTCGCCGTGGCCGCCGGGGCCGTGATGCCGTGACCCACAGAGATGGTCGTGGTAAGTCCACACCTCCAGCATGGGCCCGGGGTGGATGCTGAGCTCCAGGGAACCCAGAGCTTCTCTCCCAGCACCTGCCACCCAGACAGGACTTCCCTCAATGGCCTGCGGCAGCAGCACCCTCTGGGCAAGCGTATCTGGAATGGAGCCGCTGCGGCAGGTTCTGCAAAAGGCGAAAGCAGTTGCGCTGTACTGTTCGGGGCCCCTGGGGGCACTGAAGCATTTTGTCACCACAGGCTGGACAGATGCGGAGACCGAGTGCAGCCAGGAGGCTCCAGGTAGGACTCCTGGGTCTCTGGACAGGGGCCCCAGGGAGAGCCCTCTGGGATGGTGTTGGCCCTGAAGTGTGTTGAAGGAGGCTGCTGCCACTGCGGGCAGTGGAAAAGGAAAGGACAGAGGGCAAAGGCCCTAGGCCCCTTGGACCCCTCTGCCTGGTGAGTGGGGAGCTCCCAGGCTTGTGTCCAGCCCAGTGTGAAAAGGAAGGAAGTCAGAGGTCCCCTCTCTGAGACTGGGAGTGCCTCCAGTTCTTAGGGGAGAGCCTGTGAGTTCAGAAGGCTTTGGCCACGGTCATCCTAGGTGGAGCCCCCTTTGCGGGTCTCATCAATCAAGGCCTCACCTGCTACCTCAACGCTCTCCTGCAGTGTCTCTTTCTGACGCCTGAATTCCGAGACAGGTGAGAGGCTGGGTGACCTGAGGGCCTCTGGGCCAGGTCCCGGCAGGTCCCTGCGGACAAGGTAAGGACCCAGGCTTCCTCTGTGGCCACAGGATCCAAGAGAAGCCTTGGACCTCCGAGCCCGAGCAGGCTCTTGGCCAGATCTTCAGGGGGCTGCAGAGGCGGTGTGGACCTGTGCCAACGAGTGCCCTCACCACCTGCCTGGGTCTGCACAGTGAGTGGACGTTGGGAGGCACAGGGACAGGGCACCAGGCAGAGGTGGAGCCCAGACCCTGAGATCCCACGAAGGGCTGTGTGTCCCCCTGAGGGGTCTGCACCACCCCTGACCCGGTGCCACTGGGGAGCAGCGTTCAGCGAAAGTTGGGAGAAGGTGGTTGCAAGATGGCCAGAGGCCTGCGTGGGGCAGGTTCCAGGGGAGAGTCAGGAGCAGAGAGGCTGACCCATGGGTGGGGCGGGCCCCTTTCCTGGACACCTCAGCATACAGTCTGTGACTCACCTGCCCAAGAAGCACCCTGGGGCTTCACACCGTTGGGAGGGGAGGAAGCGGGACCTCGGGGAGTCACCAATGTGACCCAAGCATGTGCTGGCCCAAGGAAGACGCTGCTGCGAGTGTCCAGAGAATAGGAGCCCTCTCAGCCACCCGGGGCTGGGACACTGCGGTCCATGAGCTGATGGTGGCAGCAATTGCCAAGTGTGGGGAGTGTTGTCAGGAGACTGGGGGTAGGGCTAAGGGACACTCGCTCCGTCAGCAGGAGGGACGTCCACCTTGTGCCAGGCTGAGTTTAGAGACTCTGCCAAGGAGAAATGTCCACACTCTAGAGGGTGGGTCAGAGGGAAGGGCCAGTGGCCAGGCTATAGCTGGGCCCCACCCCAGGCCCCATGGACAGCTGGGCAGTCAGCCTGTCATCCCAGGGCTGACTTAGAGGCTGGGCCTGAGGGTGCTCCACTGCCCAGCCAGGCTGTCCCTGTTGCTCTCTGAGTGCCCAGTGCGACTCCTGAAGTTGGCTCAGGGCCTATTTGCTGAAGGAATGAGTGAATCAGTGAATGGACAAAGGAGTGAACAAATGCTGGAGCTTGACCTTGGCTCCCCTGGTCAGGAGGGAAGGGCCAGAGCAGGAGGGGAGGGTCAGAGCAGGAGGGAAGGGCCAGAGCAGGAGGGGAGGGTCAGAGCAGGAGGGGAGGGCCAGAGAAGGAGGAGAAGGCCAGAGAAGGAGGGGAGGACCAGGAGACAGCTTGGTGAATCCCAGCAAAGGCACTTGCTCTTAATAGGCCCCTGATCAGGTCCTGACAGAATCAGGACCAAAAAAGGAGAGGACATGGGGTCCGGGGTGGGTTCCGGGGTAGAGCCAGCAGAGGCGGTAGCTGTGAGGGGAGGGGCTGGGCCACAGAAGGCCCTGGAGTGGTGGGAAGCAGCTGCGCTGACCTGGCTCTGTCTCTACTCTGTAGGCTCCGTCCAGCAGGACGCAGCTGAGGTGTTTCTGCTTCTGCTGCAGCACCTGGGCCGGGATGAATTGCAGGAGGTAGGCAGTGGGGAAGGAGGGCGGCAGCTGGACACCTGCCAGGGGATGCAGTGGGCAGGGTGGGGAGAGATTCGGAGGCCCACTGGCCAGATCACAGCCAAGAGGGCACCAGGGCCACAGGTGTCTGCCTTGGAGTGCAGAGTGACAGGCAGGAGAGACCTGAGACGCTCTCAGGAGCATTCACTCAGGCCCCTTGCCCTCCCTGCTGAGGCCACGAGCACGCTGGTAGTGAATCAGCAGCAGCAGGGCCTCTCCCATCGCAAGGCTTGTTCAGTGGGGCTGGTGCTGCTCAGGCCCTGGGCCCTGGGCTCACTGGATCCTAGCACTGCAGGCAGGTGCCGCCATCACCATTTTTTTCTAGTGGCCACAGGGAGGACAAAACTTGCCCCAGGCCACCACACTGAGGACCAGGCACACAGGTGGCAGCTGCAGAGAGCAGGCCCCATAGGGACAAACAGGGTGTATTCCCTGGAGGTAGCATTGCCTCCCTGATCAGAAGCCCGTGCACCAACCATAGCTGGATCAGCAGCCCTCCTCGCCAACCATGGCCAAGCCCAGGGCCGTGCCCCTGAAGCCCGTCCTGAGGCAGCCACCTTAGCCCATCCCCATGGGGGCAAACCCAGGCAGGGCTCTCCCTGCCCACTCCTTGCCCAGCCCTTGCCTCCAGGCTGCATTTCCCAAGCCCCTGCTCTGGGCTGGGGACAATGTGACCTCTAGGCTCCCTGATGGGACAAAGTCCTGTGCCTTGGCACACGGGCAGTGCCCAGGCTTTGACCCCTGCCTTGGGACTCCTGTGGTTCCCAGTTAACTCAAGGCTCCTTGTGATTGGACCAAGCAGCGTGTTCATAAGACGGAAGGACCAAAGCTTGTGACAGCACAGATGGGCAGTGTCAAGGGGGCCTGAGGATAGGGAAGGTTTTGGGGGGCCTGCTATCCTGAAAACGGGGCCAGGTGCCTGAGGGCGTTTCCAGGACAGCACTCCTGACTGGCAGGGCCTGTCCAGACCTGTGGTCCCGCCCAACGTGCCGCATCCTCTCACACAGGTGTTCCAGAGTGAGGTGGAGAAAATCATCCAGTGCTTGGTGTGCGGCCACAAGGAGCACATCCCATCGGGAGGCAGGATGCTGATCCTGCCCCTGGCTTCCCACACCCAGCTCTGTGGCTTGGAGGGGGCTGGGCAGAAACCTGGCAAGCCAGCCAATCCGTCTAGTGGAGTTTCCCAGGTACTGTGGCCCCAAGGTCGCCCTGCAAGGCAGTGTTCCTGAAATGCCAGGGCTAAGGGCCCATCATTCATTCATTCTTTTGGCCCACCCACCTGTCTGGAGCCCCTGTCTGTGCCAGGCTCTGTTCCAGGCACATTGATGTAGAGATGCCCAGATCTTGGCCTCTCGCACCGCAATGCCAGCCCTGGTTGTCTGGCTGTGACTGATACCTAGGCTGGTGAGTGGGTTCATGGGGCTCATCTAGATGTTGAGGGCCACTGGCCACTGCCCTCTGGTAACAATGGCCGGGCAAGGGAGCTGGCAAGTGTCGGGGAGCCAAGAGTCACAGAGGAAAATGGCCTCTATGTGGGGTGTGGGGTGGGGGTGGGGCAGGGTAAGAAGTGTGAGCCATCTCCAATGATAGGTAAGGTCACATGGGTCACGTGTCCACTCTTCCTTTAGTTCTTTCAGCGTCTTTAAGATAGAGTTTTAAAGTATTTATCTGGTAGATCTGTCATCAGGTCTTCGGCAGGGACAGCTTCTGTTGATTTTTTTCCCTTTGAATAGGCCATAGTTTTCTGTTTATTTGTATGCATTGTGATTTTGTTGTTGTTGAAAACTGGACATTTGAATCTAATAATGTAGTAATTCTGGAAGTTACATTCTCCTCCTTCAACCAAGCTTGCTATTGTTCGTATTGTTTTTGTTTATTTTTTATTTTATTTTATTTTTGCAGTCTGTCTCTGTGCTGAGGAACAGCCTGAGGTGTAAACTTCAGGTCTGTCCAGAGCCTGTGCCGTTCCCATGCACACTCACTTTCTAGTTTTCCTCTTTTATGCAGTTGTTTTTCAATGCCCTAATCTTTAATATCTGGCTCCCAAAAGGGGAAAAAGAGGAAAATGAAAGGGGGAAGAGCTGTCCCTTTAAATCCCCCAAAAGTCACTTCAGCCAGTTGGGGAGGGGCTTGCAAGAAGGGAGAGAGGTGCAACCACAGTGGCCACATACTTTTCTGTTTGCACCTCCTTGATCAGAATGAACAGCAATGGACGGTCCTTCAAGTTTGGAGGACAGGGCCCTTACTGCCCACCCTGTGTCCAGCAAGCTCCAGGTTGCTCCAGGAGCACAGGCACACTTGCTGCCCCAGGGCTGAGGATGAGGGATGGGTAGCTGCTACTGGCTAAGAGCTGGAGTTGATCGAAATTAACCATAATTTCCATCTGAGCCTTCCCCTGGAAGTTGCAAGCCTTTGATAGACTCCAGAGTTCCAAACAGTCACCCAGGGCAGATTCTGCAGTGAGGTGTCTGAGAGGGCAGTTGGCCTCTGGATGCTTTCCACTCTCCCATTCTCCCAGAAGCTCTCAATGTGGACTTGTGTTGGAGCTAGAATTTCTCCCAGGCATCGTCAAGTCAAGCAATGTTCATTAGCTGCTTTTATTTCTTATTTCACAACTACATTGCCCCTGTCCCATATTTCATCAAGTTACCCATTTTTCTTATGGATTTATCAGATACTTCTTTATAACGTGGAAAATGACTCTTTGTTACCATTTTCCCCATTCTGTCATAAAGGAGGAAGTGTAATCATTAGCAAAAGGTAGCATATTCAATAAACAACGTTGGGACAGTCATTTATTACTTGGAGAAAAACTAAGTTAGACGCTCACTTCACACCATGTATCAAAAGGAAATCCAGCTGGATTAAAGTATGAGATAGATATACAAAGAAAGTTAACAGGAGAGAAGCAATGAAAATATACTTTTTCTCAGAATGGGAAAAGAGCATTAACAAAAGCAATAGCATCAACTGACATATGTGACAATGTAAAAGTGAGATCACGTTGTACTCCCTGCCCTGAGAAGAGCTGGCGTGGGCAGTGGGATAGGGGTCTGTAGGGTCCAGCCCCACAGGGTTGGAGGGATTTTCTCTCTGTGTGTGGAGACGAGAGATTGTAGGAATAAAGACGCAAGACAAAAAAGGCAGCTGGGCCCAGGGGACCACTATCACCAAGACTCGGAGACCGATAGTGGCCCCGAATGTGAGGCTGCTCTGATGTTTATTGGATACAAGACAAAGGGGCAGAGTAAGGAGTGTGAGCCATCTCCAATGATGGGTAAGGTCATGTGGGTCATGTGTCCACTGGACAGAGGGCCCTTCCCTGCCTGGCAGCCGAGGCAGAGAAAGAGAGGAGAAAGAGAGAGACAGCTTACGCCATTATTTCTGCATATCAGAGACTCTTAGTACTTTCACTAATTTGCTACTGTTACCTCAACGGCAGAGCTGGGTGTACAGGATGGAACATGAAGGCGGTCTAGGAGCGTGACCACTGAAGCACAGCATCACAGGGAGATGGTTAGGCCTCTGGATAACTGCGGGCGGGTCTGACTGATGTCACTGACACTTTCCCTTGACACTGACGCTACCATAGACCACGGTCCACTTGGCAACGGATGTCTTCTGAGACGCTGGCATTACCGCTAGACCAAGGAGCGCTCTGGTGGCCCTGCCCAGTCGTAACAGAAGGCTGGCACTCCTGTCTTCTGGTTATTTCTCACTATGTTCCCTCAGCTCCTATCTCTGTATGGCCTGGTTTTTCCTAGGTTATAATTGTGAGCAAAGACTATTATAATATTGTAGTAAAGAGTAATTGCTGCAAACTAATGATATTCACGCATAATCATATCTATTATCTATATCTAGTATGACTATTCTTATTTTATATATTTTATTACACTGGAACAACTCGTGCCCTCGATCTCTTGCCTCGGCACCTGGGTGGCTTGCCGCCCACAGGGGTCTGGTGACCCCACCTCCCAGGCCCTGCCTGGGCTGAGGCCCTCCCTTCTCCCTGCTGAGCAGGTTTCTTCTCAGTCCCAGAACGCTCAAACGGTTCTTCTCAGTCCCAGAACGCTCAAACGGTTCTTCTCAGTCCCAGAACGCTCAAATGGTTCTTCTCAGTCCCAGAACGCTGGAACAGTCTTTGAAACAGTGACCAAATGCCAGTGGGAGGTGGCTCAGGGTGTGGGTGACTGAACCTCAGACACAGCCGCAGGTCTCACCTCCAGCACAGCAGAGGCATCCTTGTTCCAGCCCCACACTTTGGATTCTGGATCTGCACAGGCCTGCATGCAGTTGCAGGCATTTGATGAGCAGGGCAGGGTCCCGGGATCCACCCATCGCTGGGGAGGGGGCTCCAGAGAGGACTGGGGAGGCCCCCACTGAGCCAAGCCCAGTGTCCCTGCCTTCCCAGCATCCACCAGCCTGGGAGGAAGGCAGGTCCTGCCAAGTCCCTGCCTTGGCTGTAGCCTGAAATCCACCCTAGAGCAAGACATAGGCAGTGGAAAAGAAGAGGGAGGAAAGGGTCTGGGGACCTGGGCGTCCACCTGTGTTATGGCAGATTCCCCAGAGACTCAGCCGCTTCATTTCTTCTTCTATAGGACACAGAGGTGCTGAGTTTCTCTCTAATCCAGAATTTTGAGGATGAAGACAATCGGTTCTTCTGTGAGCCCTGTAATGCCAAGACCCCCGCCTCTGAGGTAGGGGCCCGGTCTGGGCTGCTTCCCTCACTGTGGTGTGGGAGCGGGGCAGCAGAGCGATGGGAACCTCTGGGGACAATGCAGACACTGTTGTCCCTCTGACTCAAAAGAGCTTCCCTGGGGCAGGGGTCAGCAGGTGCACAGAACTTAAGACAGGGTAACAGGGCTTCTTAAGTATTTGTGGAATGGGGAGGAAAAGAGGGGAGGGAAGGAGGTAAGAGAGAGAGAGGGAAGGTCGGAAGGACGAAGGGAGAAAAAGAGGCAGGAGAGAAAGAGACAAGAAGGGAGGAAAGTGGAGGGAAAGAGGAAGAAGGAAGGGAAGGAGGGACAGAGACAGAGAAGGAGGAAAAAGGGAAGTGAGGGGAAAAGGACAGAGAGTGGGGAAGGAAGGCAGGAGAGGAGGGAGAGAAGGAGAAAAAGGGAGAGCATCAGGACCCGGGTTAGGAGACAGACTCATAGAGCAGAAAACCTAAAGGACCCGCGTGTCTGTGGGATGGAGGATAAAACAAGAACGGCTCTTTCAAGTGCATATCCCAGCCTGAGAAAATGACTTGGGGAATATCCCTTTTCTATTTTTTGAAATAATATGTATAAAATTAGAGTCATTTCTTCCTTTAGTTATTGCTAAACTTTGCAAAGGAGGCCTCCTGGGTGTCGGGGTTTTCTGTTGTCTTTGTGGGAAGGTTTTGCTGACAGTTAGTGCCAGATTCAACTTTCTGATAAACAACTATGTACCTGTGTGTGTATGGAAGGATGCCCATATATATATATATATATGTCCCACTACTATTCAAGCCTCTTATTTCTTCTTGTCATGGCTTTAGCTGCTTCCATCAAGGTTTGATTTATAAGATTTTCATAACTGTTCACTTCAAAATATTTCTATTACATGTTATCTTTGACTTGTGGGTTATTTAGAAATGTATTTGCTTCTTTCCAAACATGGGAATCTTCTAATTATCTTTTTGGTGTAGGTTTCTGACAGTGTGCCAGAAAAAAATAATTCTGGACTCTTTGGGTACAAATGTCAAAAAATCATACTCAGAAAAAAACTGACCGATGGCCATTTTTTAAAAACTTGTCGAGACCTGTAAGAGACACGCACACGGCTACGGTCAGCTTTCACAGTCGTTTCACGTGCGAAGGAAAAACTCCTGCCATCTTGGGGTGTACCGTCCTCTGCGTCTTTTGGGGCAAGCTTGCTCAGTGTGTGGCTATCACCTTATGGATTTATTTTGCTCTGTTGTTCTTTCAGTTATGCAGAAAGTTATACGAAGTCCTCCCAGTAGAACTGTGGATCGGCACAGAGGTCCTTGTGGCTCTGTCCATTTTTGCTGTACACATTTTTGAAGCTATGTTATTGGGTGGATAGACATTTAGAATTGTTGTCTTCCCGGGAAATTGACCTATTTAATATTTTGAAATGTCTACTTTTGGCTAAGCTTTTGCCTTAAAATCTTCTTAGTCTGATCTTAGCAGACCTGCCGCGGCCTTCTTTCGGTTGTGGTTTCCCTGGTCTGTCTTTTTCTACCCTGTCACTTTTGACCTTTCTGGATTCTAGTGGATTGGATTCTAGTGTATGCTTCCTCTAAACTGCATGCCCTTGACTTTCAAAATGACCTCTGACCATGTGTGTCACTGAGTTAGCGATGTGACTTCTACCTTCCTTATGCCTGTGTTAAATCTGCCGTCTCACGAAGCACCTTCTGTGTGCCCCGCCTGCCTTGTGAGCGTCTCTCCTTTCCTGGCATCCTCCATGTCAAAGAATGGTTTGGATTATTTCATTATCCAGAAGACCAGGACAAAAGCTGGACACCATACCCATCTGTGTCAACCTGCATGTTTGTGTTGTGTCGACCTTTGTGTTTGTGCGGTGTCGACCTGCGTGTTTGTGTGGTGTCGACCTGCATGTTGGTGCGGTGTCGACCTGCGTGTTTGTGTTGTGTTGACCTGCGTGTTTGTGTTGTGTTGACCTGCATGTTTGTGTCCTGCTGTTTCAGCTCCTTGGGCTGATGTTGGCTGATTCTTTTGCCACTTCTCCAACGGTGCAGGAACTTTGTATTCACCTCTCTCCATTTCCATGGCATTGCATGTCCTTATTGTGGGCTCTAATTATTTATTTTACATGTGCAAGGCATTTCTATTGCTTTCTACAGCTAGCATTTATCATTATTTGCTCATTTGCCATTTTGGTTGTTCTTTCTTCCTGCAATCTTTGTTTGGATTCTTTTCACCCTGTAGAACCTCCTTTGGTGCAGACTGTTTTCCACACAGGTGCTAAGTCTTGATCCTTCCAGTAAATGGGGGGGTCTGTGGTGTCTGGCTTCTGTCCTGGTCGTCTGGAGGTGGGTATGGTGTCCGGCTTCTGTCCTGGTCATCTGGAGGTGGGTATGGTGTCCGGCTTCTGTCCTGGTCGTCTGGAGGTGGGTATGGTGTCTGGCTTCTGTCCTGGTCGTCTGGAGGTGGGTATGGTGTCTGGCTTTTGTCCTGGTCACCTGGAGGTGGGTATGGTGTCTGACTTCTGTCCTGGTCGTCTGGAGGTGGGTTGGTTCCAATTGTCAAACTTTCCCAAAAGACATTCTTCTCCCTTAGAGCACAGACAGGAGTCTTCAGCAGGTGCCAAGTGCCCACTCATGTCCACGGAGCTTGACAATGACCAGGAAGCTGCCCCCTGGTCCTTGCTCACTCCTAGTCTTATCAGCTTGACCTTCCCACTAAAGGCTCAAGGCAGGGTTGTGCTGCAGGCAAGGCTGTCCCTGGACACACAGGCACAGGCTACAGTTGTCCGCCTTCCCAGGGCCCTGGGCTTCAAGACTGCCCACTTAGAGCAGGCACCACAGAACTGGAAGGTAGATGGTCATGTTTTATGATATTCTCTGTGCTTTTTAAACCAGAAGCAGTGCAGACGAACCTTGACTGAGGAAATGTGGGAGGCAGCTGGGGCAGGTGTCTGGAAGGCTCTTCCAGAGCCAGTGGGGTGTGCAACTCCCTGCCCCCACCTCTCTCCTTCCTTAGGAGACACGCTTCCTGCGGCTCCCGAAGGTCCTGATTCTGCAAGTCAGGGAGCTAACATTTGAAAACGGGAGGTTTCACAAAATTCAGAAGTCTATCAACATTGCCCAGGTGCTGAAACTGCACACCAGCCCCAGAGGACTGACATTGCCTAAGTGTAAAGCTTCCCACAGTGGCACACTCACCCCCAACCTGGTGAGTGCCCAGCCTTGGAGAGGGGGAGCTGCAGTGGGGGGCATCATGCCCGCAGCCTGCAGGGACAGTCACATTTCCGGCCAGCGTGTCCTGCCTGCCCGTCCCTTCATGACAGGAACAACCACAGGACAGGCAGGGTGGGCTGGCGCCGGGGGGCGGAGGCCATCCTGGCTATGGGAAACCTGTCTGCGGTGTGATTAAGAAGAGCTGCCCACATCGCATGATGGAAGGCAGGGCAGTGATGGGGTCCAAAGGGCTTGGGAGGGGGTCCCGGCAGCTGGGGGCAGGAGGTGTGCGGGGCAGCTGCCCGTTGGCGGGGTGGCCTGCGTGCTGGGCTTTCAGGACAGGCCTTCATGGAGGATCTCCTCTCCATGAGCCCCTTGAGATGCTCAGTTCCTTCCAAGCTGACCCGGAGCCAATGCAGGCTGAGGCGCAATGTTTGGGCTTTCCCCAGAGTGGCTGTGTAAGCAAGCCAGGAAGTGCTTCATTCTCAGATGGGGGCCGGGGATTCCCATGGCCTCCCGAGGGGACGGGAAGCCAGGTGTGGGATGGCACTTTCCAGGGAAAACCCGGAGCTTTAGGTTTTCAGAGCTAGAGAGTGGTGGAGGGAGCTGTGCCCCAGCCCACCCCTGCTGGGAGGCAGACTCTGGTCCTGTACAGCCCCGTTGCTGTTGGAAGCTGAGCTCTGGGCCCCGAGGCTGGCCTGCAGCTGTGACACTGAGGGGTGGCAGGGTGGGGTCCATACTCCTGCCCCCAGAGCACAGTCACAGCTAGCAGGGCCTCCCCCATTGCCCTGGAACTCAGTCCCACACATGCCTGCCCACGCACCCCCCACCCTCTGAAGCCCCAATTGCCCTACAGGAGCAGAGAGTCTACCACCTCTACGCCATGTGCTGCCACTCGGGAGACTGCAGTGGGGGCCACTACACAGCACTGGCCCAGCCCCCCGGCAGGGCAGAGTGGTTCCGCTTCAATGACCAGCAGGTGCACTGTGTGAGTCCCGCCCGTCCTGCCCTGGGGTCGGCCGCCGACGGGCATGTTTAGGGAGCCAGCGGTTCTCTGGGGCCTCCGGTGTGCTGTCTGTAATAAGGAAACAAAGGGACCCCTGAGCTGGTGCTTAATGTCGCTTCACTATTGTTATCGGAAGTTCTGGGAACCTTTTTCTCCCCCCAGGTTTAACTTCTGTAGCAAAATGTTATGGTTTCTTAATTTCTGAAAGTAATGTGTGCCTTTGTTTAAAAAGAAAGTATTATAAAAAAGGAGAATTTTAACAGCACAAAAAAAGCTATTGCAGAGACAAGAACATGAGTGAGGGCTGTTGGTCACAGTGAAGCTGAATGGGAGCAGAATGGGGAGAGGAGATGCGGGTGCAGGGGGAGGTGAGGCCGGAGGAGGCTGAGACAGGAGGAGGGTGGGAGGGGGGAAGGAAGCCGGAGAGGGTGGGGGCCCTGGGGAGGGCAGGCTGGGAGGGCTGTGGCACTGTGGCAGGAGGGCAGCGTGGCCACCAGGGACGCTAGCGAGCATTGCAGTGGGCAGGTAAAGGTGGCCGGGCCAGTGAAGGGCATGTCCGAGTGGAGGGCAGTGACTTTCAGGGTGACCCCGCTGAGGGCCAGGCTGAGGTGGGAGGGTGTGGTGATGGGTGGCAGGGCACATCCTCAAGGCCCCGCCTTCCCGCCTAGGTGGGGCCGGAATTCCCTCTGCACCACACGTTCAGGTAGGCTGCTGGGCCCTCCTGGGGCGGGGTGGGACCCTGTCCTGCGTGATGACCCCAGGGCCCTGTTGTGGAGGCAGCGCTTGCTGAGGACAGCTGACTTTTCACCCAGGGAGAGAGTGGGACAGGCGGGGCACCCTTCCCTGAGAGGGTTACTGTCATGGGGTCAGGTTTGACCCATGGCCTGGACCCAGGCCCCTCACAGGGCTGTACTCTCACCCCGAGCTCACACCACACCCCTGTGGGAGGAAGGTCTGTGCCCTCTGCTCCCTCTTATCTGTATGGCAAGGGCCCCACGGGCAGGGGCGAGAGTGGGGATCTCCCCTGTGTGTCGTCTGCCACCGTCCAGGGAGGGGAGGTGTGATGCCCGCACAGCGGGGCTCAGGAATAGGAGGACCACCCAGGAAACGGTGAGTCTGGCCAGAGACCCGGGAAGCCGAGGCTGCTGAGCCTGGGTTTGCTGCTGTGTGGGACAGACGCGGCCGCGTGCCTGGTGGGCAGGACTCCACTCAGGCGCGATGGGTCCTGTCCCTGCTCCTCTCGCAGGTCTGAGACCCCGTACCTACTGCTGTATCGCTGTCAGGACACTGAAGACAGGTGCGTCCCTGTCTGGTCTCGTGGGTGGTGAGTGTTTGGGGAGCCTGGAGGAGGCACAGCCACCCCAGCCAGCTTTAATTGGGTAGGTGATTTTGCCAAGAAGGGGATGGATGCTGTGGGTCCCGAGGGCCACATCTGTGGTGATGGGCTCTGCCCTGGGCCTCCTCCCCACAGGGCAAGGCTGGGGTCAGGCCTGGATTTGCAGGTCAGGGCGATGGGCTGAGGCCTCCCCTGGGACCCATGTGGTTCGGCCTGGCACCTGGTCCCTGTGGCCACGCACTCCCTGGGGCTGTGTTCTGAGGCCTGGCACCTGGTCCCTGTGGCCACGCACTCCCTGGGGCTGTGGTCTCTGAGAACACGTGTCCAGGGAGAGAGGGATGGGATTTTAGTCAAACAGCCTGTTCTCTCTGCAGCACCCACGTCTAACTCCCCTCCACAAAACAGGCAGTGGTCAGTGCTGCCTGCCTGGAGGGGAGAGGGCCCTGGGGGGGTTGGTGCTGGGGGGTTGTGGGGAGGTGATATCCTCCTCCTGGGTTGTCCCTGCAGACCTGCTCAGGGACGCTGCAGAGGTGCCCGGGGAGGCACCTCTGCCTCCACATAAGTGGAGACCACATAAGGCAGACCACATAAGTCCATGAGGGAGCTAAGACCCTAGGCCAGGCCCCAGGCCTCCAGGCCGCCCACTGGTCCCTTCTCCTCCCCCTTTCTGAAAAAGACCCCCCATTTCCCCGGAGACAGATGCTCAGGCGAGGGGGTGTCTGTGGCTGGGGGCTGCTTGTGGCCTTGCCAAGGCTTCAGGGACTTCCAAGCATGCCTGTGTGACTGATGCATACCAGGCCCCTGGGGCCTGTGAGGGGCGGGATGGTGGGCCCCTCTCAGCCAGAGTTTCAGCTCTCTTTTACTGCAGGCAGGAGCCAGAGGCACCCGGGCCTGACAATGGGGATATGAGAACCATGACAGATGTAGCTGTTCCAAAGGAGAAGGTGCCTTGTCCAGGAGTGGAGGGAGAGACCCTCAAGACAGACTCTGCCACAGTCTGCTGGGGAGGACACAGCCAGAGCCTCTCTCTTCTCCAGGACGACGAGCCCATCTGCCACAGACAGGGTCCTGCCAAGAAGTACAGGTACGTGACCACCTGACTCTGTCCTCTGGAGAGAGCCAGGTGGCCCTTGGCCCTGAGGTGGGCACATTCAGCAGCCCCTGTGGGTTGGCTCAGACCCTGTCTCACTGAATATATGTGCGTGCACCCACCAAGGGCCAGAGACCCAAAGGGGACCAAAGAAGCAGGTCTGGGTCTTTTGGGAGCTTGGGGTCTGCATGGCTGGACAGAATGTGACTGAGAGGTAAATGTGTGGATTTCCAGCAAGAATGCACTAACGCTTGAGGGCAAGTGTAGGGGTGGCCTCTTCTGGTCACAAGGCAGGGGTATAACCTGAGGGACTGCATGCCACCTTGCCCGCAGAGTCGGGAGGATGCACAGGCAGTGTCCCTCGGAGGCATCACTGAGCTGGTGGGAATGTAAAGAGTGTCCCCAGGGTACCTCTAAACCAGTACTGAGGTCACACCAGAGCTATCCTGGTCTGCAGGAAGGAGAAAGCCAGTCTTAATAGTAAAGAATGTATGATTTAAAGATGGCGTTCGGAAAGGAGAGGGAGCCAGGGCCCCACAAGCAGGGATGGCCCCAAGACCTCTGCATGCAGTGCCACCGTGAGCTCTCAGGTGCAGGGCGTCACTGGCCACGGGCCTCAGAGAGACTCGATCTGATGCATCTTTGGGAGAAAAACGATGCTCCCCTGAGAAGCTGTGCGAATGACTCTGCCATCGTGCAGGTTTGAATTTAGAGAATGTGCAGGGCCTGGGATCCTCCGAACCATGTAACTGATGTGAACAGAGCAAGCTCCCCCGTGGCAGCGGGAGGCACAGGGTGGAGGAAAATATGAAGCCTCTCAAGACTGTTATGTCCTCACCTAACAGAGGGTCACCTGGCTCCCCACCCGCAAAGTCATTTTGAAAATGAGGAAACAATTTGTTGTGCATGGGGGGCCCTCAGACAAAGTAAAGAGAAGGTCAGCCCCTGTGAGTTTCAGAGAATCTATAAAGATCAGTTACAAAATTTAAAGACATGAAACGTAGGACTGAGAACAGAAAAACAATGAGACATACTTAGGATAAATTTGAGGAGAAAAATAATCCGTATCTCGCCTATAATCCCAGCACTTTTGGAGGCCAAGGCAGCTGGATCACTTGAGGCCAGGAGTTCAAGATCAGCCTGGCCAACATGGTGAAACCCCATCTCTATTGAAAATACAAAAATTAGCCAGGCATGGTGGCGCATGCCTTTGTGGCATGAGAATCACTTGAACCTGGGAGGTGGAGGTTACAGTGAGCTGAGATCACACCACGGTACTCCAGTCTGGGTGACACAGTGATACTCTGTCTCACACAAAATAAAAGAATCTGTAGAAACGAAAACATAGTCATTGATATTTTAATTACATTCACTGTGTTACACAGCATTTAGAAATAAGAGAATAGATATTTCTCGGATTAGAAGATGGATCTTGGGAAAGCTTTTGCACGTATTTTACCAGAAGATAAAAAGATATGAAAGAACGGTTTTGAAAGATGGCATGGAGAATAGAATCAAAAGGTCTGAGTGACCTTCCAAAAGAAGTTAGAAATTTCCAACAGGACTGGCAAAAAGGGAGAACAGAGATCACGAGGGGAAAACAAAACTCAAGGAGATAATAAGTGAGAATTTTCCAAAACCAATGAAAGGCATGAGCCCCCAGCAAGGTTTAAGCCAGATAACCAAACCTAAATTACTGGGGGAATCCACCCCCAATATTTCAACATAGGTTCTTTCTATTTTCCATAAGTGTTGGCTGGCTGAGAAATAAAGAGAGACAGTGCAAAGAGAGGAATTTTACAGCTGGGCTGCCAGGGGTGACATCACATATCAGTAGGACTGTGATGCCTGCCTGAGTCTCAGACTAGCAAGTTTTTATTAAGGATTTCAAAAGCGAAAGGGGTGTAAGAACAGGGAGTAGGTACAAAGATCACATGCTTCAAAGGGCAAAAAGCAGAACTACTAATAAGGGTCTAACACAGATCGCAGGGCAAAGGGCAAAAGCAGAACCACTGACAAGGGTCCAACAAAGATCACAGGGCAAAGGGCAAAAGCAGAACTACTGATAAGGGTCTATGTTCAGCAGTGCATATATTGTCTTGATAAACATGTTAAACAACAGAAAATAGGGTTTGAGAGCAGAGAAACAGTCTGACCACAAATTTACCAAGGCGGAATTTTTCCCTACCCTAGTAAGCCTGAGGGTACTGCAGGAGACCAGGGCGTATCTCAGTGCTTATCTCAACTGCGTAAGACAGACATTCCCAGAGTGGCCATTTATTTATAGACCTTCCCCCAGGAATGCATTCCTTTCCCAGGGTCTTAATATTAATATTCCTTGCTAGGAAAAGAATTTAGCGATATCTCTTCTACTTGCACGTCCGGTGATAGGCTCTCTGCAAGAAGAAAAATGTGGCTCGTTTTGCCCAACCCTGCAGGCAGTCAGACCTTATGGTTGTCTTCCCTCCTTCCATAAAAATCGCTGTTATTCTGTTCTTTTTCAAGGTGCACTGATTTCATATTGTTCAAACACACATGTTTTACAATCAATTTGTACAGTTAACACAATTGTCAGAGTGGTCCTGAGGTGACATACATCCTCAGCTTACAAAGATAACAGGATTAAGAGATTAAAGTAAAGACAGGCATAAGAAATTATAAAAGTAATATTTGGGAACTGACAAATGTCCGTATTAAAATGAAATCTTCACAATTTATGTTCCTCTGCTGCGGCTCCAGCCAGTCCCTCTGTTCAGGGTCCCTGACTTCCCACAACACTAAATCTATACCTAGACTTACCTTAGAAAAGTCTAAAAGCAACTAGAGAGGAAAGAATATTCCATTGAAAGGAACAATTATGTTAAAGTAGACATCCTAAGGGTAAGGTAGAAGACAATGTAATGTCTTCTTAACTGGCAGACTCTAATTCTATGCCCAGCTAAACTCTCTCATAGTCAGGTTGTTTCAGGCAAGCAAAGGGTTAAAGAGTTGACCACTAGTAGCACTTGTATAAAACAGCTTAAAGCTGATTTCCAGAAATATGTACATCAAGTCTAGGAGGAAGAGCTGAAGTGCAAAAACAGTGATTTTCAAATAAACTAGCAAAAATGTAACACAATAATTAAACATGGATTGTATAAAAATACCTAATGATAATGGCTAATCTGGAGAATATTAGAACAAAACTAAAAATATGACACATCTCAAAATTCTAAACAGCAAGTAGGAGATTGGAGTGAAAGTCCTCTAAGCCATCCCTTTGTTTTATGGGGAGAGTGGAGATATTGGTTAACTGTCAACTTAGTTGAAAAAATAAGGATGTCAAAATTGTCAGGGTATCTTAGCTCATATTTCTTAAAAGTAGAGTTGGAGATGTAAGTGGTTGATTGAAGAAGTTCTTGAGAGGCTGCCCCCATGGAAAATGTCTGGAGCACAAATTGGGCCACAGAGGTGAACTTGCCTGGATGAAAAGGCATCAGCAATTTGTACTCCCATCAGATATGGGAGTGCATAGGGGCATGGCTTTGGGGATGTGGAAGCCCCTATTGGCCAAAGGCATTGGTCTAGAGAAGTCGGCAGCTCTGATTCTGAGCACTTAGCAGCAAACACTCCCAGCAGGTGTAGGACGCAGGCACCAGCGTGGAGAAAGGTATCTGGTAGGACACCACGGCACCCATTCCAGCCCATCCCCCAGGCCGCTCAGGTGCTCCCTACAGCAATGCAGCCACACCTTCATCAGCGTTCCATGGTTTCATATCCTCCTGGAAAAACTTATACGAGGATAGTTAATAAAAACCTCTGACTGTACCCACCTTGTTGCAGTTATCCCTGGGGATGGACCCAGAATTCTTCTCTTTCCTCTGCCACTTACATGAGTGCCCCCTGATATGGTTGGGATATTTGTCCCCTCCAAATCTCAGGTTGAAATATGATCTCCGGCATTGGAGGTGGGCCTCGTAGGAGGTGTTTGGGTCTTGGGGCCAGATCCTTCACGAATGGCTTGGTGGCCTCCTACGGTAATGAGTGGGTTCTCGTGCTGGTAGCTCATGGAGGGCTGGTTGTTTAAAAGGGCCTGGCACTTCCCACCCTTTTGTTTGCTCTCACCATGTGATGTGCCTGCTCCTGCTTTGCCTTCCACCATGAGTAAATGCTCCCCGAGGCCCCCACAGAAGCCTCGATGATGACACACAGGCTCCCATGTTGGCCAGCTGGTCTGCCACTCTGTGAGGCCTCAGTGGTGCTGGCAGAGGCCCTGAGGGTGAGAAAGAAAAACTCATACCTGGAATTTATGTCAATCCCTGACAGGATGAAATGTGTTGTACCTTCTCCCAGTGGAAAAGAACTGATGCCATCAACTTCCATCCAATGGGTGGTTGGTCTTCTCTGTGTTTCCCAGGCTTAGCACTGTGCCAGGGGCTCAGTGCCAGTCCCACAGGCAGGGCAGACAGGCAGCAGAAGGAGCTGGAGCCACTTTGGTGAGAGGGAACCCCTGCTTCTCCCCCGGGCAAAGCCCCCATTTTCTGTCATGGATATTCTGTTTGCAAGCCTATTGCTCAGGAACTGGAGTGGCCAAGGACAGGCCCCCGTTGGCTGAGCCATCATGTTAACTTGGTAGATTGTACCTCTGTTGGCACACATTGCACCCTCTCCCATAGGTCCATTCTTTTCTCTAGGCTTTCTTTTCCAGATGTTTCAATCCTGCTCTTCCAAACCCTGGCCATGCAGCTAGGCTACTGGCCACACACAGCCTTCCTCAAGAGCCTCAGGGAGCTGCTCTGTGACTCTCCAGGTGGGACTTGCCTGAGGCTCCTGGTGGCTTCACTGTCCACCGTGACATCTTCCAGGTCATAGGGCCCAAACTGCAAGGTTACTTTTACTGCAGCCTAGAGCTGCTGCAGACTCCTTTCTAGCACTGGGCCCACTTAAAGCTACTAGCCTCTGGCAGCATTTGACAAGTAGGTCCTAGAAGCCTGCCCAAGTGTGACCTGTGCTGCCTTCAAAGCCCAAATCGATTCACCAAGCATTGTGTTCCTTTCTCAGGGGAAGGGGAGCAGACAGCACAGTCACTGCATCGGTTACTCCAGAGGGAATATCCCAACAAGCACTGGAGCCCTGGGGTGCAACTGCACTGACGTGGCCACCCCTGGCTCTATGTGGGGTTTATCTCCTCACCTTCTAGGGCGCCTTTTCCAGTGCATCCAGAGTACTTCCTGCTTCTTACTAGCAAGTCTGATGAACACAGAGTTATCAAGATTGTGGGCCAATGTGATACTCTGCAGAACGTGCAAATACTCCACATGTTCTAGACTCCCTCATGACAGAACAGAACCAACTCAGCCTGGGGAAGGCCTGTGTCTGTGCACTGAGATCTGTCCCTTGTGCAGTATGCTGCCTCTGACAACCTTCCCTCATGTTAGAGAAAAGGATGTGTTTGCTGAGGCAGTGGCTTCAAGCCACGAATGCAAGACCGTGTTCATCTGACCCAGTGAAGGCATCCCACCCAGCAGGACAGCTAGCACTGGGCTCCCGCTTGGTTAAATTGGCAGTGGCTGGATCCAGTCCAGACAGGGGCAAGCTTAGGACGTTGAATGGGGATTGGTTAGGGTCTCCGAGCCTGCATCCCTCAAAGCTTTGAAGGGGGAGCTAATCCCTGGTGTTCCCCTGAGATGTGATGCTGTTGTCGAATCACTGACTTAGCAGGAGATCCACCGGGCCAGGGGCGCCCACTTGGCCTTTCCTACGATAGCTCTTATCCCGCAGCCCTGGGAACCTCAGCTAGAGTCCGGCTAGCTACTCAGGAAGTCATGCCACGGCTGCTTTCCAGAACTGAAGGAAAGTCCAGTATCGGTCCAGGCACCCAGAGAACACGGGCCAGGACGCTGCCTCAGGGCACTGCAGGGGTTCCCTGCCCCACAAACCCTGCTCATGGCGGGGGAGGGAAGCACATGGGAGCCGCGTGTTCTCTCTCTCCATGGGATGCATGTTCTCTCTCTCCGTCGGCCGTGTATTCTCTCTCTGTGGGCTGCATGTTCTCTCTCCATGGGATGCGTGTTCTCCCTCTCCGTGAGACATGTGTTCTCCCTCTCCATGGGATGCATGTTCTCTCTCTCCCACGAATGCAAGACCGTGTTCATCTGACCCAGTGAAGGCATCCCACCCAGCAGGACAGCTAGCACTGGGCTCCCGCTTGGTTAAATTGGCAGTGGCTGGATCCAGTCCAGACAGGGCAAGCTTAGACGTTGAATGGGGATTGGTTAGGGTCTCCGAGCCTGCATCCCTCAAAGCTTTGAAGGGGGAGCTAATCCCTGGTGTTCCCCTGAGATGTGATGCTGCTTGTCGACCACTGACTCTAGCAGGAGATCCACCGGGCCAGGCGCCCACTCTGCCTTTCCACGATAGCTCTTATCCCGCAGCCTGGGAACCTCAGCTAGAGTCCGGCTAGCTACTCAGGAAGTCAAGTGCCACGGCCAGCTTTCCAGAACTGAAGGAAAGTCCAGTATCGGTCCAGCACCCAGAGAACACGGGACCAGGACGCTGCCTCAGGGCACTGCAGGGGTTCCCTGCCCCACAAACCCTGCTCATGGCGGGGGAGGGAAGCACATGGGAGCCGCGTGTTCTCTCTCTCCATGGGATGCATGTTCTCTCTCTCCATGGCCGTGTATTCTCTCTCTGTGGGCTGCATGTTCTCTCTCCATGGGATGCGTGTTCTCCTTCCAGGAGACATGTTCTCCTCTCCATGATGCATGTTCTCTCTCTCTCCATGGGATGCGTGTTCTCTCTCTCTCGGTGGGATGCATGCTCTCTCTCATGGGATGCATGTTCTCTCTCTCCGTGATGCATGTTCTCTCTCTCCGTGGGATGCGTGTCTCTCTCGGTGGGATGCATGTTCTCCCTCCCCATGGGATGCATGTTTCTCTCCTGGTGGATGCGTGGTTCTCTCTCTCCCGTCGGCCGTGTATCTTTCTCTTTCTCTCCATGGGCCGCATGTTCTCTCCATGGGCCACGTGTTCTTCCTCTCCATGGGATGCATGTTCTCTCTCTCCATGGTACATGCGTGTTCTCCTCTCGGTGGGACATGTGCCTCCCTCTCCATGGGATGCATGTTCTCTCTCTCCGTGATGCGTGTTCTCTCTCCGGTGGGATGCGTGTTCTCTCTTCGGTGGGATGCATGTTCTCCTCTCCATGGGATGCATGTTCTCTCTCTCCCTCGTGATGTGTTCTTCTCTCGGTGGGATGCATGTTCTCCTCCCATGGGATGCATGTTCTCTCTCTCCTGGGATGCGTGTTCTCTCTCCGCTCGGCCGCAGATTCTCTCTCTCCATGGGCCGCATGTCTTCTCCATGGGCCACGTGTTCTTCCTCTCCATGGGATGCATGTTCTCTCTCTCCGTGGGATGCATGTTCTCTCTCTCCGTGGGATGCGTGTTCTCTCTCTCCGTGGGATGCGTGTTCTCTCTCTCTCCGTGATGCGGTTCTCCGTGGGATGCATGTTCTCCCTCTCTGTGGGGATGCATGTTCTCTTCTCCGTGGATGGTTCTCCTCTCGGTGGGACATGTGCTCTCCCTCTCCACATGGGATGTGTGTTCTCTCTCTCCATAGGATGCATGTTCTCTCTCTCCGTGGGATACATATTCTCCCTCTCCAGTGGACTTGTGCTCTCCCTCTCCTTCAATCTGTAGGTTCTGGCTCACATTTGACTTGAATCTGAGCTAGTGGGTTGTGACTGTCCTCAGGGCACTGACCTCTGTGTCCTCTCCTGCATCCTTGATCACATTTTCTGATGTGTGTTAGGCAGAACACTGGTTGCCCCTGGGAGCACCCTGTCCCTGAGCTGGGATGCCCGGGGTTCTGTCTCTGAGGGTTGGGTTCTTCTATGCCCCATCCCCCACTCCCTGTTCATTGTGGGAATTCTGGCTGTACCTCACCATTGGGCTCCTTTCTTCCCTGGACGCTCTCTGGGAGGACGCCACGAGCCAGCCTTGTCCCCAGCTGCCCTGGCCCCGCTCTTGCAGAGGACAGCTGCTCCGAGCTTGCGGTGATGCTGGGGCCCCTCGCAGAGCACCGCAATCCACCTTGTAGCCGACCTGCTGAAAAATAAACTCCTGGACGTACAGCAAATGAGTGGGGCATGAGAAGCAGAAAGCTCTGTAAAGCTGCCGAGGTCGGGGCAGGAGGGGAAGGCCAGGACACAGCACTGGATAGGGTGGAAGAGAGGAGTGTGACTGTGTCAGCCGCCACCCACTCAGAAATCCACCCAGTTTGCTGGTTGAAAAACAGAGCTCGTTAGATTATATTTAAGCACACATATTGCTGAATCCCTGTCAATGGAGCTGCAAACCTCCGAGGAACCTGGGACAGGCCTGCCTCCCGTCTGGGGCTTGCTGTGCTTGGGAATGGAGGGCTGAGCTGGGCAGTCCGGCAGACCTGCCCCATCACTGCAGAGACCCAGAGGCTTGCCCTCCTGCAGCCCAAGGGTCTGGTGAGCTGAGTATTCTGGGGTCCCCACTTCAGCAGGGCCTCACAGGGCTTCCCTCTGCTCAGGCGAGAGTCCACTTTGTTCCACAACCTCCTGGCTTCAGTTTCAGGAGGGACATGGAGCCTGGCCTGGGGACAGGGGCAGAGCCTCAGAGCACGTGGATGAGGAGGGCCCCAAAGCACCTCCGGGGGAGCAGGGAGGCCTGAGGGGCCTGCCCTGGTGGCCCCAGTGTAGCCCCCAAAGAGGAACTCCCCAAGCCATGGGAATGAGGAGCTCGGCAGCTGAAGACCAAGCCCTGTCCCACCCTGTGCAGGCCCGGGCACAGCCTGAAAAGACACACGAAGTGACGCCTGACCCATGCCCTGAGACTGGGGCCATTTCCCTCCCTGATGGCTGCTGACTCTGCAGGGACTGAGCGGTCAGCCCCAACTCCAGGTCACTCACCACCTCACACCGATTCCAGCCGCCGCCATGCCCCCTACTCCTTTTCCAGCACAGGGTCCTCACCTGAGGGAGAGGCCCCGCCCCTGCCCCGCGAGAGCTGACCTTAAGGGTCCGTGGCACCCATCTCATCACTGATGTCTCACACGGCAACAGGCCAGCCTGCTGTCCCAGAGGAAATGCAAGGCTCAGACACCAGCGAGCCAGGTGGTCGAAGGCTCCTGAGGTGGGCGCTGGGCCCTGTACGACAGCAGGAGGAGAGGGTTGGGGTGGAGGAATGGTGGTGACAGCCAAGACTGAAGGGGCTGAGACCCTCGGATGAGCAGGAGCAAGGCTGGGAGGGGCTCATGGAGAGGTTGTGAGGAGGTCTCGGGCTGGGCCCAGGGGCAGCAGGGACTGTGCACCTGGGAGCCGACAGGACCTGCCCGGGCCTGGTGGGGCTGGAGAAGAGTGGGCATGATTCCACCCTTGAGTTCGGGAGAAAACTTTCCAGGGCTAGGCCTGAGGTGAGGGTCTGGGGCAGGCCCCTACACGGCCCCAGTCTCTGCCTGGCTCACTGGGGGTGCTGGGGCTGATCCCAAGATGGGACCTGGAAGGGTGGGTGATGGCTGGACTCGAGGCTGGGAGTTGGGTCTGAGGGACCCAGGGGGACTGTGGCCCCCAGCCCTTCCGTGTTGCCTGGTGTCTGGGGCCCTGTGTACAGGTGGTATAGGATTGGAGGTGGGGGGTGCCAGCGAGGTGAGGGCTGACCACAGGGTCCACAGGCCCATAGGACATGAGCGAGGGCTCTGGTCCAAACCAGCTCAGCCTGGGTGTCCACCCCTTGCTCTGCAGGCCTCAGGAGCAAAGTTGGAGGAGCAGAGGCTGCCAGAGAAGGAGTCCGGCTCCTCGGAGACAGAGAAGCAGAAGTCATGGCCACCAGAGAAGAGGAGTGGGAGGCTGCCAAAGAAGGGGGCCAGCTCCTCAGAGAAGGAGGATTGGAGGCTGTGGCCTCCAGAGAAGGAGGAGGGGAGGCCGTGGCTGCCAGAGAAGGGGGCTGGCTCTTCAGAGACAGAGGAGTGGAGGCTGGGACTGACAGAGAAAGAAAAGGGGAGGCTGTGGCCACCAAAGGAGGAGGAGAGACCATGGCAGCCAGAGAAGGAGAAGTGGAGGCCATGGCAGCCAGAGAAGGAGGAGCGGAGGCCATGGCCACCAGAGAAGGAGGAGCGGAGGCCGTGGCCACCAAAGGAGGAAGAGAGACCATGGCAGCCAGAGAAGTAGGAGCAGAGGCTATGGCCACCAGAGAAAGAGGAGGAGAGGCCGTGGCCACCAAAGAAGGAAGAGGGGAGGCCGTGGCAGCCAGAGAAGGAGGAGCTGAGGCCATGGCAGCCAGAGAAGGAGGAGCGGAGGCCGGCGTGGTCTGGGAGGAGGAGGAGGAGAGACCATGGCCACAGAAGGAGGAGCGAAGGCCGTGGCAGCCAGAGGCGGAGGCCGTGGCAGCCAGAGAAGGAGGAGTAGAGACTATGGCAGCCAGAGAAGGAGGAGCAGAGCTGTAGCCACCAGAGAAAGAGGAGGAGAGGCCATAGCCACAGAGGAAGGAAGAGGAGGCCATTGGCAGCCAGAGGAGGAGCTGAGGGCATGGCCACAGAGAAGGAGCAGCAGAACCATGTCAGCCAGAGAAGGAGGAGTGGAGCCATGGCCGCCAGAAGGAGGAAGAGAGACCATGGCAGCCAGAGAAGAGGAGGAGGCAGGAGGCTGTAGCCTGAAGAAAGAGGAGGAGAGCCATGGCCTGGAAGGAAGAGGAGGCCGTGGCAGCCAGAAGAAGGAGGAGCGGAAGTGCAGCACAGAAAAGAGGAGGAGGAGGCCATGCAGCCACAGAGAAAGAAGAGGGAGGCCATGGCAGCCAGAAGGAGGAGCGGAGGCCGTAGCAGTAGAGAAGGAGGAGCAGAGGCTGTGCTTCAGAAAAAGAGGAGGAGAGGTCATGGCCACAAAGAAGGAAGAGAGAGGAGTCCATGCTCAGCCAGAGAAGGAGGAGCTGAGACATGGCCACCAGAGAAGGGCAACAGAGACCATGTCAGCCAGAAGGAGGAGCGGAGGCCGTGGCAGCCAGAGAAAAGAGGAGCAGAGCCATAGCCTAGAGAAGGAGGAGGAGAGACCGCTGGCAGCCAGAGAGAGGAGAAGGCAGGCCGTGGCAGCCAGAAAAGGAGGAGAGTCCATGGCCACAGAGGAAAAGGAAAGAGGGGAGGCAAAGCAACGCTAGAGAAGGAGGAGCGGAGGCCATGGCCGCAAGAAAAGGAGGAGAGGCCATAGCAGCCAGAGAAGGAGGAGTAGAGACCGGCAGCCAGAGAAGGAGGCGGAGGTCATGGCCACAAAGAAAGAGGAGGAGAAGGCCGTGGCCACCAGAGAATGGGGCTGGCTCCTCAGAGACAGAGGAGTGGAAGCCATGACTGCAGAAAATGAAGGGGATACCATAGCCTCAGAGAGGGAGGAGTGGAGGCCGTAGCCTGAAGAAGGAGGAGCAGAGGCCATGACTGCCAGAGAAGGTGCGACCCATGGCCACCAGAGAAGGAGGAGAGGAGGCCGTAGCCACAGAGAAGGAGGCGGAGGCCATGGCCACCAGAGAAGGAAGAGGGGAGGCCGTGGCAGCTAGAGAAGGAGGAGCGGAGGCCATGGCCACCAAAGAAGGAGAAGGAGAGGCCATGGCAGCCAGAGAAGGAGGAGTAGAGACCACGGCAGCCAGAGAAGGAGGAGCGGAGGTCATGGCCACCAAAGAAAGAGGAGGAGAGGCCGTGGCCACCAGAGAATGGGGCTGGCTCCTCAGAGACAGAGGAGTGGAGGCCATGACTGCCAGAGAAAATGAAGGGGATGCCATGGCCTCCAGAGAGGGAGGAGTGGAGGCCGTGGCCACCAGAGAAGGAGGAGCAGAGGCCATGACTGCCAGAGAAGAGGAGTGGAGGCCATGGCCACCAGAGAAGGAGGAGAGGAGGCCGTGGCCACCAGAGAAGGAGGAGCGGAGGCCGTGGCCACCAGAGAAGGAAGAGGGGAGGCTGTGGCCACCAGAGAAGGAGGAGTGGAGGCCATGGCCACCAGAGAAGGCTGCCCCTCAGAGATGGAGGAGAGGAGGTGCCAGGCTTCAAGGTGAGTCAGGGCACTGCCTGTGGCCAAGGCCACCACATCTGCAGGTCTGGCCCTGGCCCAGCCAGACGCTTGTGGGTCTTGGCTCAAGAGTGGATGGAGTGAAAGCCACCCCAGCTCCTGCTCATGACAGGCCCCCAGGAAGAGACACCCCAAGCAGCCCAGTTGGATGCCCTCTCTGGGGTCCTGAGTCAACTCAGACCTGGGACCTCCCTACCTCCACACATCCAGCCTCCTCCACATGGGGTGGCCAGAATCATGCCCTCACTGCCACCTACAGCCCCTGCACCATCTTGCCCTGTGCACGCTGTGACAGCCTCTGCCCACTTCTGTGCACCCCAGAGCAGATGCCTGGAGGCTTGAGAGACGGGGAGGGCCTGATGTGGCCACAGGCGAGGCAACAGCAGAAGGGTTGCTGGCCACCGTCCTCAGGCGGGGCGTCCACCTGGCCTCTGCCTCCCTCGGAGCAAGACCAGCGGTGGGAAAGCCCCAGGGGAGAGACAGCCCTGGCAGTGCCACACTACACCAGGCTCAGTGCCCAGCCAGCGTTCATGGGGACCCTGGTCCCTGGAAAGAGATAAAGAGTGACCAGATGGCATTCACGCCCTGCCTCAGGAGTCCCCAGTCTAGAGTGCCAGGATGGCATTCACGCCCTTGCCTTGGCAGTCCCCAGTCTAGAGTGCCAGGATGGCATTCATGCCCCTGCCTCGGGAGTCCCCAGTCTGTCCCGTCCCAGAGCCCTCCCCTGGCCCTTCCAGCTGGAGAGCACGACCCTGAAAACAGAGGGTGCTTGGGGCTTGGATTCCAGTTGGATTCCGAGGGGGAAGCTCTGGGAGGAGCAGGGGGTGGTTGATAGAGATGGACAGGGAGGGGGTCTCCACAGAATCCCACCGGGCCTGCCTGGAGCCAGCCCACCATAGGCTGGGGGCAAGGTGGGGCTTCCTGGGCCAGCAACTGAGGCTCAGCCCAGGGCGCTGAGCAGCCCACACTCAGATAGGGGAGTCTGGGCCAGGTGCTGAGGGGGTCCAGGTCCCCTCAGTCCAGGTCGCGCTGCTGGTGACTGCTGTGTGACCTCTCAAAAGTCACTGAACCCCTCACCATGAAATGCAGGAATTATTCCTGCTTAGAAGATGTTGTATTTGGATTTCACAGACACCATTTATTTATACAAAGTACAGAGCTTAGGACTTCCCTCCTGGTGGAGATTTTCTAAATCTAGTTGTTGTTTCTTTAGGAATAATGGTCCCCCTCTTTCCCTGCAGCATCCTGCTTTGGTGAAGCAGCTGCCACCTACGTCTCCAGCCCGAGCCTGACCTCGCTTCCTGGCCCCCACCACTGGCTCACCCCCAGCCCTAGCCACTTCCCCAGGTCTGTCTCCAGCACCCACTACCCTGCCAGCCTGGACGTTGCCTTTGGGGACCCTTGCAGCCCCCAGGGCGGAAGGCCTCCTATTCTGAAGCTGTCTAGGGCCAGTCCCAGGCCAGACTCCCACCCAGGGAGCTCCAGCCCAGCAGAACTAGAGGCGGAACAAGGGGTGCTTGGTGGGGAGGCTGGGCAGAGCAGGGTGGGGTCCCCAGGGCTCTCCCCTCACGCACTGTCCACTGTTCACATGAGGATGGAACCTACCTTCTCCAAGCAACTGCAGACAGACAGTGGACATGAGGACAGGAAAATCTCTGCAGACCAGGAGAACAGTCAGGACGAGGGCTGGACCATGAGGAGGGACAGGTCAGCCTCAGAAGGCTCTGAACTCCAGGGCACAGGGTGGCCCTGATGACCCTGCCCAGAGACACACTGGGACGGGGCAGAACCCTGCACCCGGACAGAGGAGCACTGGCGCTGCCATCCAACCCACTCCAGGTTCAGGTGGGCACTCAGGAAGGCGCGGAGCCCCATTTCCTGCATGACTCCACCCGGGTTGACAGTGGAGGGACTTTCCGCATGCTGAAGGCAGACCCCAGGGTCTCGGGCCACTGTCCTGAGCATCGCCCCTCATGGGTGCCATGCTGGTGGCTGCTTCTACCCTACTCTGGCCTCCAGGGCAGGTTCTCCCCTTCAGAGCTGTGACCCCAAAGTGAGCCCAAGAGCTTCCCCTCGGGGAGCTGGAACATCTAACTGACCTGGGCCTGCATGTGGGATGGAAACAGGTGGCCTAGCGTGGGGCATCTCCACTCTACAGCTCCTCACCTATAGGTGCCCCGGGAGCAAACACCTGTGCAAGAGTGAACAAAAGACACGGTAAATCTGCTCCTCGCCCTCTCTGGGAAGCAGAGGGTCTTCCCTGTCCCACCCCACTCAAGGGATCCGCTGCTAAACGTTCAAGGATGTGGAAGGCCAGTCATTAAACACAGCCACTGTGAACAAACCACAGAAATTTGTACTTAAATAAATCTTAATAAAATAGGTACTTAATAAAATAGGTACTTAAATATCTATTAAGGTAATAATTACCTAAACTCAAGACTTCCTAATGATTTTTTACAACTATTTTTGGGGGTCGCTTACGTCTGTTGTCGCTGTATGGTAGAAATGCTGCTGGCAGGCACTGCCCCCCTCTCCCTGCCCCAGTGGCACAGGTGAGGCCCCTGGGCAGCCGGAAACCCACAGGTGCTGCAGACCAGGGCGTGACCTTCTGCTCTGTGGATCGTCTCTGTGTGGATTGTGACTTCAGGAAGGGAGGCAGCTCGTGCCTGAGGTTCCCAGTGAAGCCAGCGACGCCTCTGCTGGGGCAGCTCGTGCCTGAGGTTCCCAGTGGCCGCCTGATTTTGTCAGGACCTGGGTCACTCGAAACCACAGGTTGGCTGAGGGCACAAGAGTTTGGCAAAAACCAACTGAAGCATCCTAAGAGAGTCGATGGCCACATGGAATTTCGCATAAGGGCGTTGCACGTATTGTTATTTTCTGTAACTTGTGTGCTACACACTCTTTGTATACAGTCATCCCTCGAATCCACAGGACACTTGTTCCAGGACCCCCTGAGGACACCAAAACCCACAGGTGCTCAGGTCCTTCCTATGAAATGGTGTTGCGTTTGCATATGACCTAAGCACACCCTCTGCTTTAAATCGCCCCGGATTACTTATCATGCCCGATACAATGTAAATGCTCCATACGTGGTCGTTACACTGTGTTGTTTTTTACTTCTATTATTTATCATTGTATTGTTAGCTTTTTTCCCTGAATAGTTTGTCTTGGAGGCTGGTTGAATCCAAGGACAGGGAACCCAGGGAAATGGAAGGTTGACTGTGGCACAACATGTCAATACAGGAGCCCTCACTTACCTGCAGGGGAGACGCTCGGAGACACACAGTGGGTGCCTGAAACTACAGACAGTACCAAACCCTGTAGACACTAAGAAGCCCCCGCAGGGGACACGCTCCGAGACCCACAGTGGGTGCCTGAACCTGCAGACAGTACCGAACCCTGTAGACACTAAGGAGCCCCCACTTACCTGCAGGGGACACGTTCCGAGACCCACAGTGGGTGCCTGAAACTGCGGACAGTACTGAACCCTGTAGACACTATGTTTTTTCCTATACATACACACTTATGATCAATTTTAATTTATAAATTGGATACAGTAGGAGATTGACAACAATAATAAAACAGAACCATTATAATAATAATATAGTGTTCACAGCTTCCCAGATAGAAGTTTCATTCTTTAATCTTTATCTCAGCATAGGATTATTTTCCTCTCCTTATTGAGAGCTTCCACATTTTCACTCGAAGGAAGAACTTACAGCTTCCTCTGACCCCTGCCTGGCCCAGACCCCTGGAGGCCATGACCATGTGCACTTTCTCCAGACCTCGAATCCCTCTTACCGGGAGCCTCCCAGAAAGGCCAGGGCTGCGCTGTGCAGATCTCACAATGCCCTTCACTACGGGTTCATTTTGTTTTCCTAAAAATGGGGCCATGGCCAGGTCGTGGGAAAGGTTCAGGGTCTCTAGTCCAGCACAAATGCTGTGCCTGGGAGCTGTGTCCCCAGGAAGAAAAGGCTGCAAGTCCCATAGGGAGGAGCTCAGAAGGGCCCCCACCAGCCTAGCCGCCACCCCAAATCCTTACAAGGGCTTAGTCTTGGCTTTGAGTCCCTGTGAACTGCCCCGCCTTCCCTCTGCCCAGGATGGGAGAGGCTCCTGGCCCCCTGCTAACTGGGCTGTGGCTGTTTTTGAGTGGCTTCACTGGGAAACTCAGTCACAAGCTGCCTCGGCAGAGGTGTCCCTGGCTTTACTGGGAAACTCAAGAGATTGCACAGCCTCATCCTGACCGCCCCTGGCTGTTCTCGCGGGGTCTTCTCCATCTGAATCGGCACCTCTTTCAGGCCGTGCTGCAGGTGCTCCCACGGTATGGCCTCCTGGGTGTCCTCTGGGATGGCAGTGGCCTCCTGGGTGTCCTCTAGGATGGCAGTTTCACAGTTGCCATCTGGAATTCTGGCCGCTCAAGAACTCTGATGTGGGGAAAATCACTCAGTGGAAAGAAGCCTTAGCTCATGAAGCAGAATCATGGCCATGCTCTGCTCTGCTTAGAAAAGCTGGCCTTGGTCCTGCAAGAACAAAGTCCACTACTGCGAAGCTTCCAGCTCTGTCAATAAAACTCGGTTCTTGAAGAGAGGGTGTGACAGGAGACCCCGTGCCACCACGGGGAGCTGCTCTGCTCAGGATAGGAGCGGGCGGGGCACTGAGTGCGCCCACAGCAGGAGCCAGAGCCTCTGCTCAGAGGACGCTCGCTCGGGACCAGGGGCCGCTGGCTCCAGGAGGAACGACGCACCCCAAAGGCCCCTGTGCTCCTCATGGGCCACCTGTTCGGGGGGTGCTGCTTCTGCCCTGGAAGTCCAGCCATTCTCCCTCCTCCACTCCCGGGCCCGAGCTGTCAGGGACACGTACAGGGCTCCAGCTGCTTCTTCCTCTAGCCAAGTGGGAGCCGGGGCTTTGGCCGAAGATTCTTGCCGTGCTTCCATAAACACTACAGCCCACGCAGGGCAGCCGGGAAGAGTGTCCAAGGCAGCCCTTCCTGGGTTGGGATGTGCAGAGCCGGGGTCTCAAACCACAGCCAGATGGGCACAGACTATTTCCGTAAACGGAGTCACAGGAGCTCAGCCTGGCCTTCGTCCGCGTCATCCTCCAGTGTCTGCTGCTGACTCCACCCTCCACCGACAGCGTGGGCACCTCACCAAGGAGGCTGAGGATGTTCACCGACCGGCCTTTTACAGAAGAGGCTGCTGGCCGCCGACGCAGACCCCTGGCCTCAGGGCCCAGCAAGCACAAGGGGTGGTTTTGTTTCTGGTGAGCGCTCACCCCACGGGTGTCTGGTGAAAAGATTCCATGGTGCATCCTGCAGCAAAGGATCCAGCTGCACAGCTCCAGTCCAGCTATGGACTTTATACCCAGAAAGTTTCTGAAAAAGCAGATTTTGGACCAGTGTTAAGACCTGCACATCACAGATCTGTGTTCTGTGGCCTGACTTTGTCTGCCATTGGCTGAAGGGGAGGAGTGAAGATTGACGTGCCACCAGGGAGGGGAAAGGCTTTGAGAAGGAGCTTTAGGAGGGTCAGCTTCTGGGAGCATCTGCAGACACGGGAGCCCAGAACACGGAGCAGGTCCTGCAGGCTCAGTTTCCAGGGCTGAGGACCCAGGGCTGCGACACTCTCCCCCTAGGAACTATTGTCAGTGGACGAGCAGGCTCCTGTGGTATCTAAGCCCACACAGAGCTGTCCACCATGGCTTAGCCAGAATCCGAGATGGACCGAGAGGCGGTGCAGGGCTGAGGAGTCCGCAATGGGAGGAGGGGCTTTGTCCCTGGTGAGGATCCTGCCCAGACAGGCTTTCTGCAGCACAGCTGGGAATCTACAGAGAACGAGGAAGGAAAGAAGGGGTCCCCAGCCCCCCAACCTTCCTCACATGACCTGCTCCTGAAAGTGGAGGAGGTAGACGGCACCATCCTCCTTGGTCACCTGCACTGGGGGCAGTTGGGACAGGAAAGCTCACATCCAGATGGGTTCAGACCCCACTACACAGGGACCCGCACGCTCACACCACACACACGGAGGGACACACACAGATGGAGACACGGGGACACGCACGCTCATGCCACACACATGCAGAGGGACACATACAGACGGAGACACGGGGACACGCACACTCACTCCACACACATGGAGGGACACACAGACGGAGACATGGGGACACGCACGCTCACGCTACACACACGTGGAGGAGCACACACAGATGGAGACATGGGGACATGCATGCACATGCCACACACACGCTCATGCCACACACACACGAGGGATACACACAGATGGAGACACGGGGACACACACACACCCCACACACGGAGGGACACATATGGACAGAGACACGGGGACACGCACGCTCATGCCACACACACGTGGAGGGACACATGCAGAGAGATGGAGACACAAGGACAGAGATGTGGAGGGACACACACAGAGAGACGGAGACACGGGGACCCACACACTCACACCACCCATATGCGGAGGGACACACACAGATGGAGACACGGGGATACGCACGCTCATGCCACACACACGCGGAGGGATGCACATGGAGACTCGGGGACACACACGCTCATGCCACACACACGCGGAGGGACACAGGCAGATAGACGGAGACACGGACATGCACTCATGCCACACACGTGGAGGAACACATGGATAAACGGGGACACAGGGACACACATGCTCACACCACACACACGCAGAGGGACACATGCAGACGGAGACACAGGGACACGTGCTCACACCACACATGCACGGAGGGACACAAGACACCAGGACACACAGGAATGCACACACACAGAATCTGCAGATCCTCACCACACGGGGACGTGCACACTCACGTGTCACACATGCAAAGGTGCACAGGGATATGCACACCCTCCAACATGTGTGTCACACACACAAAGGTGCACAGGGACACACAAAGGTGCACAGGGACACACAGACCCTCTGACGTGTGTCACACATGCCAAGGTGCACAGGGACACACACGCCCTCCAATACGTGTCACACACACACAAAGGTGCACAGGGACACACGCGCCCTCCGAGAGCCCTAGCAGCTTGAGCAGGCGCAGCCCCTTCTCAGCCAAACTCTTAGGGAGCCAAAGCTGCCTGGGGAAGGCAGGAAAAGTGGAAATCCCCAAGGGCAGGGGATCAGGGAGGGAGGAGGGCTTAGGGAGGAAGGAAAAGAGGACGAGGGGCGGGGAAGGAGGAGGGGAGGGGAAGGAGGATGGGAGGGGAGGGAGGAGGGGAGGGCCCTGAGGAGGAAAGAGAGGAGGTGCCTGGGGAGGAAGGAAGGGAGGGGCAGGAGGGGGCCCCCAGAGCAGCAGCAGCTGCAGCTGCAGGCCGTCCTGTCTGCCCGTTGTCAGCTCCGGGAGGAAGATGATGTACCAGCTGGTGGTACACGGTGTCA